TATTACCTTCACTACACTGACATCAATATTATTTTCACTACACTGATATCAAGTATTACCTTCACCAGACTGACATCAAGTATTATCGTCACTACACTGACAATATTATCTTCACTACACTGACATCAAAATTATCTTCACTACACTGACATCAAGTATTATCTTCACTACACTGACATCAAGTATTATCTTCACTACACTGACATCAATATTACCTTCACTACACTGACATCAATATTATTTTCACTACACTGATATCAAGTATTACCTTCACCAGACTGACATCAAGTATTATCGTCACTACACTGACAATATTATCTTCACTACACTGACATCAATATTATCTTCACTACACTGACATCAAGTATTATCTTCACTACACTGACATCAATATTATTTTCACTACACTGATATCAAGTATTACCTTCAGACTGACATCAAGTATTATCGTCACTACACTGACAATATTATCTTCACTACACTGACATCAATATTATCTTCACTACACTGACATCAATATTATCTTCACTACACTGACATCAAAATTATTTTCACTACACTGACATCAAGTATTATCTTCACTACACTGACATCAATGTTATCTTCACTACACTGACATCAATATCATTTTCACTTCACTGTTATCAAGAATTACCTTCACCAGACTGACAAGTACACTGAGGTTAGTTGTGTGATTCCATTCTGACAATATATTTAATGATCGTATATCAAAAAAGGTAATATTCTCTTTGCTGTTGTAATAAATATAATTGCGAATATGAAGTTACGATCAGGTACTATCACTATGCTAAAGAGCAACCCGGATTGTCGGGGAACTAAAAGAGCCTATGCGTAGCCCGAGATGGAAAACGGCACCTTAACTGTATATCTGGATCCTCCCCCGAAGAGGGCCAAGATGCCCAATCTGAAGGACCTCCCCTCCTTCAGCGTCACTAGTAGAGGGTTGTTGCCAGTCATTATAAACGGTTATTCCATCAACATGATGGTAGATTCTGGCACCAGCAGAACTTTCGTCTCCTACAGCGTGGCCATGATAATTGGTCTCCTGGGCACAGAAACAAAAAAAATTAAGAGAAACTGTGTCCTTTGGGACGGAATCTTTCAAATGGAGTATCGCTACGTACCCAACGTTGAGATAATACTAGAAAACGATAAAAAGATTTATTGTGACATTGAAATCTTACCTCTTGAGTTTGAGACAGCTAACGGTAAGAAGTACTGCATGATGGACTATAGGACTATGAAGCGTCTGGGCATCGTGCATAAATTTGACGCCGCCGATAAAGTTAAGCTTCACTTCAAAGACGAGAGTGTATTTGATAAACCCATGACAAACGCATAAAGAGAGCACTTAGATAAAATATTATCCAATCCGACCTTTGCCGCCTACTATAATTAATCTCGTTCTGGTTGTCCTAAGTCACTCATGATTGACTCAGGATACAGCAAGGAGTTTACCGTCAGTAACAAATTCTTAAGAGAGAACGAGTGTCCAGAAATTCCACAAAGAATAAGACTACACCTGCATGGAAAAGACTTCATCGAGGGCGGCGTTAATTAACCAGTAGTGCCAATGGAATTAGATGACATGCTGATGGGTAAAAAAATGCTCCTTAAGCACCAGGTTGCTATAGACTACAAAGCGTCAAAGGTGTATTTTAAGGTCAAGCGCAAAACGTATGTGGCGAATCTGAGAACGTGACCGACCTTTTAAGCTACTAACGAGACAATTCTCGGTTGGGTGGCGGGCACTGGTAAACACAGCTGTGAGTGCTAGCTCCCAAATTTGGAATGTTTTCGAGCCTATTACATTATCTGAAGGATATATAGACTTACCTACTTGTGTATAAGGACCTGAGGATAAAATAAGTATCGTCAAGCAACTTTGGTGTTGGGAACTTACTATTTACCACACGAAAATAACTGCTCGGGGTCCCATCACTCCTGGCTGGGTGTTGTGGGATGTCAACATTGCCCCACGGAAAGTGAATTATCGCTTAAGAACTCTACATGGAAGAGTAAAGAAAAGATAGTATTGGACGAAGTTCTTGAAGACCTTGAGTTGAGTAGTGATGAGTCTAATACGAGTGATGAAGCACAAGGGAAGTTCGAAAGTGAGAAAATACAGCTACAACAAGAGGTAGTGAAAAAGAAAGAAATTTCTAAAAGGATGAGGGAGACAAGCTGGCAAGAGGACAGTGAAAGCGGAGAAGTGAGAGAGGAGAAGAGACAAAAACATCTAGGACAAAAAACGTGTGAGGGTGGTAATAATAATGGAAATAACAGAAAGGAGATAGTGGAGAATGGATCAAGAACAGAGCAAAGTATGGAATTTGAAGGAAGCAGACAAGAACACACACAAGGTAATGTTGGTCGTGTCAGGAAGAGATTAATTTTTCCAGTCATGCCCGATGACCTTCCTTGAAAAATTAAAATAAGCAGTACAACTGGGACGGGAGCATCGCAGCTTTGAGCCTCTTTTGAAAGAAGGCACACACAAGCAGGCCCGGATTATCCATTAGGCACAGTAGGCACAGTGCCTAGGGCCTACGAGATATTGGGGGCCTACGAAAAATAAAACGAGAACTTTTCTTCCCCTTTTTCTACAGGTTATTATTAAATTGATATTGAGGTACTTTTTTTCCATTTATTTATTACTTAATCCTATTAGTGTCCACCAGCTAGCTGTGCTTCTTGTAAACAAAACTATTTCTGTACTGTACAAGAACAGCTGATCTAACCCATTTTCTTTACTCAATTCATGGCAAACATAACTGAATAATTTTAGTGTTCTTTCTCAAAAGATGGGCTTAGTCATCAATGAAGAAAAAACCAAAAGTGAATGTAAAGGAAGAGGAACTGAATCCGTTTTTCTAAATGGAAAAATTGTTGAGAAAGTGTCAAAGTATAAATATTTAGGATTGTATATTGGCTTTACTAGTGAAAGTAAAGAGGCAGAAATACATCATGTCCTCACTCAATGTAGAGCAAGATTACAGCCCTTGAAGGCTCCAGCATGTTGTGGTAAAGGTGCTGGGGTACCCATACTGAGAATGATGTATATTTCTACCATCAGATCACTCATAGACTATGCAGCACCTGTCCTCTCTTGTACTGGTGAAGGAAGGCTACGGAAGCTTGAGATCATGCAAAATGAAGCAATGAGAATAATTCTAGGATGTCAAAAGAATGCAATGATTGAGATAATGAAAATGGAACTAGGGTTACAGAGCATTTCACAGAGGGTCAATGAAATTAATACAGTTGCAGCAGTTCGATTAATGAGAGGGAACAGTGGGGGTAAATTTGTACAAGATATAAATGATGGTTTAAAAGATAAAAGGACCTTCTGCAGGCAAGGCAAGAGAGGATACATGAATGGATTAGTAAATATTATTAAAAAATGTAATCTGGCAGACTGGTGTACAGCTGTTCAGAAGAGTTGTAAGAATCCACCCTGGGAAGAACGAGAAGTAGAGTTAGACATAGTGCCTCTCACAATGAAGAAATCATTACATGAACCAGGACAGTTAAGGGCTTTATATGGGAATAAGATTAGTAATTTGCCTAAAATAAACACATTGCATGTATATTGTGACGGTTCAGTTGTCAAGTGGCAGGGCAGGGTGTGGGATCCTTATAAGACAGTACACAGAACAAGGAAATGATGACATCAAAATTGGACTTCGGTTGAGCAGTTTTATATCATCAACACAAGCTGAGTTATATGCAATGTTAGTAGGATTGGAAAATGTTGTAAATATGTATAAAGATGCATATTTTTTTGTTGATAGTAGGGCAGCTTTGGATTCTTTGAACAGTGGGAGTCCAGTCTTTGAACACATTATTGGTTCATGTAGAAAATTAGTAAATACAATAAGGAAAAATGGCCATAATGTTCAATTTGTATGGGTCCCTTCACATGTAGGCATTGGTCTTAATGAAGCAGTAGATATAATAGCAAAAAGAGCCACGGAAAAGGCCGAGATCGACATAATATGTACTAAAACCTTGAAAAAATTAAGGAGCAAATTACGGAAAATACAATCAATAGAAGATAATTTCAAAAGGAATTAAATATACGAGAAAAGTGAAACAATGAAACATTACCATCATGTTCTCATGAGCACAAAATTTACATATGGGAAAGATAGGAGTAGGTGGAAAGATTCAGTGTATATGAGGTTAAGATTAGGATATAAATATTATTGGGAACTTGGAGCTGAGAGAAGTGAACAGGATAAAGAATGTAGAGTTTGTAGAACATCCAGATCCCATACCCTGCCACATTATATGCTGGAATGCCCATTGCTTAATGTATATGGAAATGCCCATATAAATAATGTCCCCATGCAAATAGAGTGGATGTTTAAAAATAGGAAAATAGATGAAATATTAAAGAAATATAGAAATTTTGCATCTAGAATATAACTATGTACTATAACTGATTATATGAAATATTAGGGATTTATGTGAATCCTGAGAGGGACATTCCTGGACTGGGGCGGGGATGACTTATGTCACTTCATCCCTTTGAGATGTATTAATGTTTTTTGTATCTCAATAAACGTATCAATCAATCAATCAACGAGGCAATTAGTGGAGAAGATAAAAGTAATAAAAAAATAGTAGTCATATTGCATTGTTTATAAACGTGGCGATTTTGAATAATAATAATTATTATTATTATTTACTTTTTACGAATATTCGAGAAACCAGACTATAAATGCAACGCCATCTATTGACCGCACACCCCACCCACCCCACCCTACACGTAATGCTAAAAATACACCACGAGCATACTCGGGAACTCGCATATTCCTGTTTATATAAATTAATTAGATCAAAACCGGCTTTAACTAACTTTATATTATTTGATTAAGTTAATTTTGTATTTCTTAAGCTTGAAAAGAAAATAATGCCTTAAGAGTTGCATTCGGCCCTTTTTTAACATGAGCCATCACGGGAAGGAGACACAAGTTGGTGGTCTGACTCACACTAGTGTCGTCACCACAACAAACAGACGGGGACGGGCGGGGCAGCTGCTCTTATTTACCTTTACCACCCAATAACTTGCAGGAGGCAGAAGGAAGTAGAAATAAGAGGAATAAATAAGAATGGAGGCGGAGCTGCCGACAGAATATGACGTCATCGTGGTTGGTACAGGTCAGTAGAGGCCAAGGAGGAAGAGGTCACAGTGACAGGTGTGGAGGTTTCTAGACTTGGAAGTTTTCGACTAAATGATTTATATATAGGACCGAGTCACTCACATAGCGGTGATATATGACAGATTATGTTGTAATTTAACTTATTACATGTGTTATCTCAACAGCTTCCTCGCAGCAAGTCTAGTTTAATTAATAATAAACAACTGTTGAGCCCCCATACTTGATGACGTCTTATTAGTATTTTAATTAGGTTTATATAACAACATGAGTTCAAAAAATACTAACTAACCAATTACTTAACACACACGTACACTATATATATATATATATATATATATATATATATATATATATATATATATATATATATATATATATATATATATATATATATATATATATATATCATTACAAGAGTGAATGGTGTTAATATATAAGTGCATTATGGTTATATTATTCTGTATTTTATATCAATTTACTTAAATTTTTCTGATGTTAACTAGTTAACAGTTTAACTTGAATGAAAGGACAAAATGATTTAAGTAACATCAAACAATGTCAGTCATTTGAGTCTCATTGACGCTATTTTACGTGTTAAATTGTTTGTGTTTTTTATAAATGTTTACTCTATGTAGACAGTATGGTGCCCCTCACACTATACTGTAAACTGATCTTTTGACCTTGAGAGGATGGCACAATAAATAAAAGCGACTAAATCAAGAACTTAATCTAACTTAACCTACGGTACGTGATCAGTAAGTCTTTAAAAGACTTGCGTAAAGAAGCTGTACCTTACCATAAGAATAGTCCAATGTTGTAAGGTTATATATTATGATTTTTGTTGTTTTCTTCAGGTTATTAAATCTAGCATCACCTACCCCCCAAGTACACCAGTAGTTATGAATTTTCTTGGTGAACTGAATTAAGTGTATAGTGTTAGTTTGAAGACAATGAATTATCTATTACTTTTAAGGAAACATAATCTTACCCAAATATTTAATACTGTAATACACACAAAAAAAGGATCTGTTCTAAATAGCTGCTTAAAATGGCAGCTGTGAGACTACAACTACCAGCCAGTTGAACAACCTAACCTAACCTGTTTAACCTAATATTAGAATATCAGTTACTTTAGTTTTAGGTTGGGTTTATTTGACTGTTTGAGATGAATGTTAATTATTCTCAAGGTAAAGAACAACTTTTTACTACAGTTGTCCATAAAATAGTATAGGGCTACTGTATTTTCCGGCCCATAAGACACACTTATTTTCCTTAAGAAATGTCCATAAAATCGCCATGATTCTAATTGGCCAAAGGTCAAGTTTAAGGTTGGAAGCTGTGTACCAAACATGACCCCAGAGATGTCAAATACAGTCCACAAATGACCTAGAAATATTACACAAGCTTATATTTTACTATGCTTAGATAATGAGAAACTAATTATGCTTAAACTAGGAATGATGATTAGCTTATACATATTACTGGATTATAATCCTTATGCTTATGGAACAGTATCCTCAGTACAGCACAGTACTGCTAAACTTTAATATACAGTATTTTTTTTTTTTTTACTCTTTAGGCTATGGTCTACTTAATGTTTCTTGTGTAAATTCACAGTACCTGCATTATAAAATAGATTTTTGTCAATTTTGCTGCACCTTTTAGTAATTCTTTCATAGTTTAGAAGAGGGATTCCAGAAAACTCGTTAACAAAATTTTTTACAACGTAAAAAAAAGATTGAAGACCTTGTGAGTTAGTAGTTTAGTCATAATTACTGACCAGTTCAGAAGGTGAGAGCCTAGGTATTATAAACACTGTAGACACCTGAGGTTTGTAAAAAATGGAAGGGGTCCTGAAGGTAGAATAAGTTACACTATATGGGTGTGAAATATCAGGTGTCACTGTTAAAGATTTGTAATGGGTGGTGAAGGGATAATGATTGTCTTGTTGTGGAATGATTATTATTGTATGTTGTACAGGACTGGTGGAGTGTATAGTGGCAGCAGCCTCGGCACGTGTTGGCAAGAAGGTCCTTCACATTGACAAGTAAGTAGACATGCCTCAGCTCTAAATACAGTTCAGTAAAGTGTGACCAGCATATGAGCTTTTAATCTAACACTGTTATCAATATTTGCAGCCTCCTATTACCTGTTGTAAATAGTGTTTATATAAAGTTATTTATTGGAATATATGCATCATAGTATACAGGACAGTACAGTGCTTTGTGTATTGTGGAAGTAGAAGGGAAGATTCTTATTACATCATTGATTGTGTGTTCTTCTTTCCTGTCAACTCCTTTCACCTCACACGTCCACTCTCACAGACTGCTCACATATGCATCGTAACCTTCGTAATTGGACAGAGTTTATTTTTTATTTTGTCTTTGACAGAAATGACTACTATGGGGGCCAGTGGGCATCCTTCACACTGCGGAACATTGAGCAGTGGGTGGAGGAACACACAGCATCACACCAGGAGACAAAAAACACAGGTAGTAAAGGTTAAACTTGTGTATGTAAGTTTTTCAGAGCGAGTCATTTTCTCTATCTCTCTTGTATAAATCTCAGGTAAATAATAGGTGGAAGTTGATGTAGTACAGGTGTATATAAAGTGATAGGCTAGGGCTATAAAAATAAAAATCGAGGAGAAGAAACGTTCACGGGAAATTAAGAATTTCCCCAAGTCCTGAGCAGATTTTGTTTTCACTTATCCCCTTTATTCTCCACCCCAGTTTCATAATGGACTTTCATCTCTATATTGTTCATTAGATGGAGGTCTCACATCTAACTGACCCTCGATATAACGGACTTTCCTCTCTATTTAGTCCGTTAAATGGGGGTTTCGCTGTACTGTATTACATGGTATTTGTTATTCGTTTAATCCTTCATTTATTAATTTCTATTCTTTTTTATTGATTTAATTATTTATTTTTTATTGATTTAATTATATTTATTTATTTTTTATTTTATTTTTTTAGAAGAGTGTGCACTAGAGGAAGGAGAGAAACTAGCACCAACAAGCGATCCTCGGCGAGTTTACTCTAAAGTCAAGCTTTCCTGGCACGCACAGTAAGTGGCTTTGACGTTTATATTCCCAAACTACACTCCAGTATTTCACTTGATTTGAACATCCCAGCTTATTACAGTTAATGATGAAACACCCCTAACTTATTTCACCTGATGATTAAAAAACCCAGTCCGCAGCTTATTTCACCTGACGATTAAACACCCTAATGCTATCCTAACCCAACCGAACATTAACAATTTTTACACTTCAGGAAAGCTCCGAGACCCTCAATCAACAACACGTGTAGTTCGGAGGATGATTCCAAGTTGAAGTCTTGCAGTGATGAAGCTCCAACAGCGAGTGAAGAAAGTGCAACTAAAGATGACTCGGGGGAAGGTTCAAGCGAAGAGACTACTACACCAAAGGCCGAAACCAAAGACGAAGCTAAAGAAATCAAGACATGGTCGCAGGAGGAGATGATGCAGCTCTCCAGAAAGTTTAACCTGGATTTGGCTCCTAAGGTATGGTGGTGGTGTTAATGCTGGTGAAGGAATCTTAAGTCTCTTGTGATATTGGTGATGACTGTTCTGCCTCGTGTGTGTGTGTCATTATCAAACATGACAGGTTTCCTCCTGTACTCACACTGGATAGACCAACCGCCCGAATGGATAGTAGTATGTATAGTACTGTAATGTTATCTCCTCTGTTGCAGCTGTTGTTTTCCCGTGGCGCTCTTGTCGAACTTCTCATCTCCTCCAATGTTGCCAGGTAAGGATTGTCTTATTGCTATTCACACTTCGGGACCTCCAGCGGACCAGTGCTGTAAGGAAATGCTTGTGAAATTCTTTGTGCTTCTTTATGTAACCAGAAGATATTTTCTATGTATGCGATGGTTAATTTTTCCCGTCCGTTTTTGTACCTTTGGCATTTGCTACTAGAGACAACAAATGGGTCTTATTAACACAACTCTAGGTTTGGGGAATTTAGTTTCACCATCTCTCATTATTTATGTTTCCTCTGAGAAAATGATGGTGATTTATTGTTCACATTGTTTGTAACTTTAGTTTTTGTCTCCTGTTTAGTAGTACAAAAACCTTCCAGTTTATTTCACTGAGGAATGATTTGAGAAGCATTAATAGCAAGTGGTGTAATAAGACTAACTATATGTAATCTTTGCAGGTAAGTAAGAGTTGTAGATAAGTTAGTACAAAGTCGTAACGTTAAGATACTTACAGGTATGCAGAGTTTAAATGCATCACCCGTGTACTGACATGGTTGGTGAATGGCGGGGACGAGGGAAGCTTACTGGTGGTGCCGTGCTCTCGTAGTGACGTCTTCACCACCAGCTCCGTCTCCCTGGTAGAGAAGAGACTCCTCATGAAGTTCCTCGAGTTCTGTCACAGTTACGACCAACAGCCAGAGCAGCTAGAAGGTGACACCATCCTTAGTTTGCATTCTGGAGTACAGTAAAACCTCTATTACAGTATAATAGACGCCAGTGAATTTTGTTCAAATTTCATACAAAGGTACTCTTTTTACATGCTGATAGAGGATCTGGGTTCTTAATGTAAACATTTGAGTAATTAGTGTTAATTAATAACTCCTGCAAAGAAAAAACTTTTAGTAAATATAAAACGTCAATTATGTTCAAATTCTCCCCCCCGGGGGGGACAAAATTTCTGGGTACATCACTCACTGCGTTCTGTTCAGCACTAAACCTCAAACATTGGCAGATACTGTACCACTGTGTTAGAGTAAGAGCTGGAGGAGAAATAATCATGATGAATCTTAATATAAATTCCTGATTATAATCGAGTACCTGAGTAAGAAAGAAATGGCAAATTAGGAACAGGAACATATTTGCCTGTGATGGAAGTAGATGGTCCAGTTTATGTTGATCATGAAACATTTTTCAGAATATGCTGACAAGCCATTTGTTGACTTCCTGAAGTCCCGTAAGCTCACCGACAATATAACACACTTTGTGACGGATTCTATTGCCATGGTAGTGGGCGATGTGCCTTGTAAGGAAGGGTTGGAAAGGATGAAACTGTTTCTCACAAGTTTGGGCCGCTATGGGACTACACCCTTCCTGTTTTCTATGTATGGCTGTGGGGAGCTTCCTCAAGCCTTCTGTAGGTGAGTAGTCATTGAGCTCCTTTGTGGTATGTGGCGTTTTATTATTTTCATGAGCAATAATTACTTGATTTGAGGGTTTTTAACCATGGTCTTTAATCAGTATGTTGAAGAATATGTACTGTAAATATGTTCACTTAAAAAAGTTAGTTTTAAATGAGTAAAGCTTAATTCTAACTAAAATATGAATAAAATAACATCTAGAATATACACAAATCAAATAATTAGCCAAATTATAATGTGGAATTATTTCAAGTCTCAAATCCACAAGAATGACCAAAATATAATTTTGGGACTTTCATAATTTAAACACGAGTGAATGAGTAGCTCATAGCCTGTAGCTCTTGGTCTTATGAATATAATACAAGTACATAATAGTAGAATCCTTTACTAAACCTGAAGTAGCTTGTGAAATATTTTTATTTGGAGTTATTGTTCTCATAACACATACAACAGCCTCATCTTAGTCAAATTCTGCTTTTTGCCAATTTCATTTAGGTTATTTTTTAGTCTGTTCAGTACTTGTCCAGTCAACTTGGCCCAACATGTGCTGGGTTTAGTGAGGTGTCCATTCCTTGTGTTTTATTCTGATATATGTAAACCTTTATCAGTAGTATTCCTCCCTTACAGATTATGTGCGGTGTTTGAAGGAACATATATCTTACGACGGCCAGTGTCATCACTCATCATCAACTCTGGAAACACTTGCCTTGGTTTAGTGTCTGAGGGGCAGCGTTTTAAGTGTTCTCACCTAGTGATAGACGCTGCCTACGCCCCACAGGAGTACGCTGCTATTGGGAGTTCACCCAAGCAGCCGAGTTTATCCCGAGGAATATTTATTATTGATAGGTTGGTCATGTTATCTCTGCTATATGGTAAGGGTGACTATATAAGGAATAAAGTATAACTGTATTCAAGGCCGAGGACAAATAATACTGTAAACAGTATTATATATCATGGGATTAATGTCACTCGAACTTATTCACTAGGTCCATCCTGCCCAATGAAAAAGAACAACTGACCCTACTGCGTCTACCTGCCAAGGACGGTAACCCCCAGATAGTGACCATCCTTGAAGTTGGAGGAGGCTCTGGTGTCTGTCCCAAAGATTTATGTGAGTTTCTTCAAAGTAGATAGCCTTAAAGGAAGTACTGGTGTTTAAAATAATGTAACCTCACACGTCGGTTAGAGACCAAACCATATCATCTTCGTTCTGTGCAGCCCCAGTTGCCGGGGTTATAATCGGGAAAGGAGTAAAGCGTTACTAAAACAATAATTACTTTTAATATGTTCAGAATCATACTGTATGGACTACCAACAACTGATCATAAGCTCCTTCCTCATTGGCTGTTCAAAGATTCATCTTTTCGTCAATCAATGTAAGTCGGGATTGATACAGTACATTGGTCCTTTGGTTAACAAACACAATTCATTCCACAGAGTCGTTCATTAACCGAATCCATTATTTAAATGGGATATTGATTCCAGCTCACAGAAAAGTACATACAAAATATAAACAAAATGCAGTAAAGTACACTTACTTTGAGGTGTGTATATAGAATGTTGCTGATGATGATGGGAATTAGAAGTGGAGGAGAAGAGAAGGAAAAATTGCCTTTCTTTGGACCCATGCTTGATGCAGTAATTTCACCAATAAAATTTTAAGTTCACTAGCTGTAATTAAAGATTATTTTATTTAAATCAACACTGCACTGCGCTTTATATTATCAATATGACCAATAATTTTAATGTAAAAACGTAAAAATAGTCTGTATTCAAGAGAGCGACAACATAAAATAATGTGATTGTGCCACGAGCTATGTCTGTTGTTGTGCAGGTGATTATAGGTCTATATGTACAGTACACATGATAAGTCTTCCGTTTTAAATCCTAGTTTCATGAAAATTGACAGCAAAGATCAATAAGGGAAGAATTTTCATGGATTTTTATTTGAGTGGTCATTGACCATGTGTGACCTTTCCAGAGTAACACGAGCAGTGAAACTCTTGAAGAACTGCAATGTATTAATATTCATCATGTTTTTCCTTATGCTAAACAGACTGTGTGCACATGACTTGCCAGGGGTATGATGCAGAGGAGGATCTGAAGATTGCAGTACAGCGGCTCTTTGGCTGTGGAGCTACCAGCCAGCCAACTGTCCTCATGAGTCTGTACTTCAACCTGGTGAGTCAACAGTCTGTACACCTCAACCTCTCAGTCTTTTAGGAGAATCACACCCTGAACTTGTTATATACCACCATCACGTTGGCCATCATATTACTGTTATTTTCCAAACTCATATAGATGAAATAGCCGCAATTACCTGATGGCAGTGCTTGGGTGATACCAGAACATGATGGCCATACCACTTAAGTATACTCTGGTCAGATCTTTGTCCAACACTTCTTTCCTTTTTGTAATCATCAAAGTCTTAAAGCCATTTTCCACACATTCATGCCCCTTCTTACTTTTTTTTCCCATTAGACATTTCTGGCTGTGAAACATGTTAAAGTAAAAACATTGGGTCTAGAGTTGACAGGATATACTACAATTTAGTGTGTTTGTTTTTTAGGTTGATTTGTCTGCTTGTGATTTGGTGAGTGGCGCCCCAACTAATGTATACCTCTGCTCTGGGCCGGACACTGAACTGGACTATGACTTTGCCATTGACCAGGTGAGTTTTCTTCATAATAAACAAACATTTCTTCTCAGAGACTGGGACCACAATGAAATGGATGAAATTTTTTAGTGTGTGTGTGTCTGTCCATCCATCTATGTGTGTGTTTTAAACAAGTAATACGGGATACTGTACAGTACTCTGTACTTAAAAATGGGGTTGTATTTTCCAGGCCAAGAATGTGTTTACACGCATGTTCCCGGAGGAGGAGTTCTTGCCCAGAGCTCCAGACCCAGATGAAATAGTGTTTGACAATGCTGGAGCAGAACCCAAAGATGGAGACAATTTTGACAGTAACACAAAGATGGGAGAGAAGGACGAAGCTACTGTGAATCCTGAAAATCGTACAGATGAAGAGAAGGCGTTGGCTGCAGATGAAGTTTTATCATCGACCAAAGAAGGCAGTAGTTGAGAAGAGGAGGAGGCTGGACCTTAAGGCAAAACACATTAGCAGTTACTGAACACTCAAAACAAGAATTAATATTTGCATTTTAGCTTTTTACTTCTATCTTTTCTTGCCCATGGGCGTGTGAAAATATAATCTTATCATTCCATTGTTGTTGCATCTTGTTGAGTGACTGCAGTACGCATTTTCAGTCTGTGATTCCAACATTCTATTCTAGGAGTTTTAGATATCGTATACATGCAAACATTGTATACACACTAATCATTACAGGTTCCTTTACGTATATAAATAGTGCGTATTTCCTCATTCTTGCTGTTAATGGGTGCGACAGTCAGGTATTTAAACCAAGCCAACACGTTACTGTCCCAGCCTTTGATGTGGTTGGACTCCACTTTCATAATTATTAACCACCTTCCTGACATAGCTACTCAGTTGTCAAGCACACCATTTCATTATTTATTATCATTTATTGTCTTGCTGACTGTGATTAATTATTGGTTGCATTCGATGTACTGTATGGTGATTATTAACTATAAACACTATTATAACAGGTGGGAGTAGACAGCCAGTGATGAAGGAAATGAATCACAATATAAACTACGTTATTTCTATAGCTTACACAGAGCGACAATTGTCTCCCATAACCCCAACTTCCCATAGTTCACAAATTGTCCTGACACTTGCAGCACCTCGAGAGAACTCATTTTGCTGAGTTTGTTATGGTGACACCGCACACGTTGTCGTCAAAGACAGTGCGTGGTGGCCTCTCAAACAACAAGCCACTAGGTATGGCAGACTGATGGTGTGCGAGTTCAGTAACTGTCTCAGTCACTTTTTCGTGCACTAATAAATACAAGATAAAAAAATGTCTTTTCTTTATCTATAATATATATCATTAATTTCCACAAGACAGAGAAAAGTAAGGGTTACACTTGAGCTAACATGGGCTGTGAGATAAAGAGAACCTTCAGCTGTACTTCATAGTTAGAAGGTAAGAGTTCCTACTGTGTTATTAGAGTTACAAGTAAGAGGTCTGGGGCTGCCCCTACTAAGAGTGTTGTGCTGGAAAATGTTATTTGGACTGAAGAATTCCGACAATAAATCGGCTGCATTTATTCTGACAGTTACCCTGGTTAATGGTTCAGGACGAGGGATATGGTTGAGGTAACTGAGGATTGACAACTATGGAGATAAATGACCAAAGAGGTTGAACCTGAATTAAAAGAAACTAGAATAATAATAATACGAAGGCTAAGGATACATTAGCCGAGATTCATTCCCACATCTTTTCACTCAAACCATCAGTTTTGGGTTACTTCACTAAGTTAACAGATTGAATGCTTGTTCTTTTCGACTTTACTGTTGGTGCTTAAGTCTTTTGACTCATGGCTGCTGTAAATCAAGCCTCTTTACCCTTTGAGTCCTGGAGGATTAACTCATCATCAGAGAGTTAAATTATTATCCTGAAAGGATTAAATTATCATCCTCAAAGTTAAATCTTCTTCCTTAAAGGGTTAAATTACCTTCCTCAAAGGGTTAATCTCCATCCTTTTCCACATTTAAAGGTTAACAATCATCTTAATTTAGTCTTCTATCTTGTCCCTCCACATTTTTTAAGGTTGAAAAAGTGAAAACTCGCATTACATAAAAGCACACATTTTAAGACTATTTTATGAAAATTTTGGGCTAGACTGTTTTAAGGAATATAGTGGTAGATATAAATTTGCACAAAGGGAACTGTGATAGTATATTTATCCGAGTGACACCAACAGCTACCACACGAGCTATACAGGTATTATTCTGTACTATCTTCACTTCCATTTGTATTCATCTGATATGGTAAAGTAATTATTTTTTTATTACAGCCACTCCCATCAAGATACTCTAAACATGATCTATGATGAATCTATAGGTATCCAGGTTATTGCAAGCTTATAGGGACTGGCCTGTCCGGATGTTCATCTTGTCTTATTTAAGTCTGCAAAATGTGCCACATTCTCACGAGAAATGTCTTGTAATTAGATGGTTTGGGTTAAAATTTGTACTACAGGTTGTACCTCTCTAGTCCCGCATTCTGTGGTCCGGAACGATTTTAGTTTGTCCAAAAGGCAGCCTTTTTTTTTTACTTATCTGAATTATTATTATTACAGGAGTATTAAATTTTTGCCCCTCAGGCCCCAATGTGGGACAGTGACCTATGCCCGGGTGGGCTAATCCCCGTAAAAAAAAAAAAAAAAGCTGCGGGGAAATTAAGGTTTGTTTACATCCAGCAGTTCGGCTGCTCTCTCTCTGCTTGTCTATACAGAGTACATCATTTAACCCTTCAATATATATATGAGCAGTAAATAAGCGTTGCTTTCATATTCTTATGTAGAGTAATGACGATATGTTCTCACATGTGCGCACTTACATACGCGCAGTCTCACTTTTTTTTACCATTAATGGTTGGCTACTTATATTGTTCCATTTATTAACATTAAATAACATTACAGGTACTTCAAACAACCATATTAATTTTTTGACATTAATTTTACTACAGCTACAATCAGGGTCTTATTTTCTTCCAGTTTTATATGTAGAACCAATCAGTCACTGGTTTTATAAGCTTTAACATAAACAATGCCGGCAGCAGTCACGCCTTCTCGTGTGTTTTAATATTCCACATATTATTAATAAATTGCATTGTTAATTTTGCACACAAACATTAATTCAATAAAAACAAATTCAGAAACATTAAAATATATATGAGCAGTAAATAAGTGTTGCTTTCATATTCTTATGTAAAGTAATATGTTTTCACGTGTGCTCACTTACATACGCAATCTCTTTTTTTTTTACCATTATCGTGAGCTACTTCTATTGTTCCATTTATTAACATTAAATAACATTACTTAAAACAACCATATTAATTTTACTACAGCTACAACCAGTCTTATTTTCTTCAGTTTTATATGTAGAACCAGTCAGTCACTGGTTTTGTATTCAACGAAAACAATGCTGTGTCATTTCCTCGTGTGTTTTAATATTCTACGTATTATTAATGAATTGTATTGCTCATTTTGCACACAAACATTAATTCAATAAAAAAGACATTCAGTAATAAACAATAATGAATCTTTTGTACATAAGAGAAATGACGCTGTTTACACGATTATGCATGTCGTCTGCACGTTGGCGGGCCGTTCAAACCCGTCGAAATTCAAGTTTCCGCCGTCAAAATTTGTATTTATTTTTTTTGTGTTCCAATAAAATACGTTGAATTAAAAACTCTAGAAGCTACTATTCAACATTTAACCCTTCAATATGTCTTCAAAGAGACCATGATGCAGAGAAAGTGGTGCTAGTGCTTCCAAGCATAAGCACAAGTCACTATCCAGGAAAAGGGCGAATTTCCATGGTCCTGCACCTGTCAGGTCCCAAGGTTGCCGGACTAGAGGTACAACCTGTACTACAGTAATGCAATATATTAAATCTTAGCCAAGAACTAGATTTTTGGTCACTTCAGTTTTGATCATGTCACTCAATTTTATCCAGGTCTTTCAACCAAATCACCATTATGGTTTGTACTGTACTTACAAAACTAATCAGTAATAAGCTTGGGTGGAGAAGTTCCTTATAATAAGGACAAAAATAAGCACCAACATAATTGTCAATAAGTGAGTAAAATGCAGCTTTTATACTTAAAAATTTTATACAGCAATTTTATTGGGTATTTTGATGAATACTTATCAGTTATGTTGCTCTTAAACTGTCCTTTCCACTAATAGCCACATGGCTACTAAATTTTCAAATGGCAAAGGACAACCCATTAAAAAGTGTTCCCATACAACCCTCAGTATCTGCCACAACTAATTTAAGGTTACAATATTTACTGGACTGACAAATACCTTGTAGGTACAAGGTGGTGTCAGGTTAAGGTCTTGAAGTTGATGACAAGCGAAGATCTCATTCTTTGGCTTCAGTCCTCATCAGCCTTGGTCACTGCAGTCAGCAGTGTACTCCTAACTCACCATAGTAACTGAAACTACATTAGAAGAAATATCAATTTATTTAGAGGTATAAAAGTTTCACTTAAAGTCAATGATATGGCTAATTTTTACTTAATTTTCAGTTTAGTCAATTATGTGGTGCATCACTGGTCATTTTCAAGGGGTGCTGCATAATTCACCAACTTTCTCTTTATAACTGAAGTAGGGTTTTCATTGGTTGTAGAAGTGCTCTAACAGCACACTTAAGAGACAGCCTGAAGATAGTCTCCAGCTTCACCATTTCCCATCAATTTTGCTCCCAAATGACCAAGGTCTATCATTTTCTACAGAAATTCTCCTCCAGCCTTATGACAGTTTTATTACCAAGTTTATTTCTGTTTGGACCTAAATTTGGCTTCCATGCAGCTTGTTACAGTCAGATTTCCTGCTGTAGTTTTATTTTATTTTTTTGTGTGTTTTTTCCAGATATTGTGGCACATGTATCCTAATGATAATGTAGGAAGATTAAGATATATTGAAAGAACTTGTTACATTTCATAAAATTGAATATCTAATTACAGTATATGTTTCACCAACCACCACATGGGTCATAATACAGTCAAAAATTATAACTGCTCAATTTTCTTCAAGAAGATTCCTTTTTGGACCCCCCCCCTACATCCTGTGTAAGGTAAAGCACAGAAGCATTTACAGCACTCAACAGGGAAGCATGCCAAGTTCATGCTTGCCTTTATGCCTCAAGAATTAAGGGCATAGAAGCCTGAAGAGTCAAGGGCATAGAAGCCTGAAAAGTCAACCCTTTTTGTCATCAAGTTCTTGGAAGCTCCAACAACTTTCCCTGAATACGAATTCCCAACTTTTGATTTACAACAGGTACAGTCTCGTTCAAGATTTTTCTAACAGTGCTAGAGACAGCTGGCAAGGAAGTAGGTCTCTTAACTGTTTACAGGAGAGTCAAGGCTTTAGCACAAATGTGTTCCATAGTTTGGTAATGTAACTTCACAAGAGTTCCTGATGAAGGTTTTGAATATAACAAGGATGGCAATCAAGACATACTGAATACTACAGTCCAGGGAATATCAGAGTCTGACAGGTCCAGTATACATAATGGTGGGGAGAAAGTGCACATTGTACTTCACTGTAGTCAGTTCAGGTTAATTAATAACCTTTAAAATAAAGGTTTTTGAATATTTAAAACAGTCAATTACTCCTTGTCCTTAGTTTTAAATCCCCCTTGTACATGTTCACTATAGTAGACTAACTTGACTGTATAAACATGATAGTTTTCACGTTCAAGAAAATCCATATCTAGTTTCAAAAACTAAAGTGTTTTGCCAGTTGTGTACTTGCATATTTGTTAGGTAGACCTCAAGGAGAAAGTCTCCAACAGATTTAGCAGAGGTCTACTGCAGCCAGCAGTAGAAGGGATGCATGTGGTGGTTGTGTTGACAAAATTATGTGGTGGTAAAGTGTTCCCCTCAAGTTCGAGAATTCTTCCAGCCTACACCTAGGAAGTCCTTTAAACGGACATTTGTGTAGCAGATTTAAAAGCAAAAAATTTCAGGCAGAAAAGGTTAGTTAAATTCAACTAGGTCAGTCAGGGTTTAGATATTAATATAAAAATTTTTACAACTCCTTGGCAAACACTGCCAGAACATACAGAGCAGCCGTCACCTCGACAAACCCTAAATTTTTATCAACAAAGAATCTGGATCCACCCCCTTGATGTGGACCTTGAACCTCACAAGGCCATTTGATGTTGACACAGCCACCAGAGTACAGTCCTCCACTTCCAGAATTATCAAGGAATAGGGATTCTCCACATATATCTTGTACACCAACATGAACCCCTGGGGGGAAGAAGGGTAAAACATGTTACTGCTCTATTAAATTTTCAAAATATCTTCACTATAGATGTTGGCAAATATGAAATAGGTCTACAGTACTGTATCTTAACAGTAAGGAATTTTGGACTAAACTTAAACATTCGAGAATTTTTCATGGTCCTCAGAGGAAATCCTGGATATGCAAAAGCAGTGGATCTCTTTACTTGTAAGCACAACCTTTTGACAACTTGTAGCAGCAGAAATCATTACTCCAATAAAGCAAGAAATATAAATTTAGCAAATGTTAAATCTTGTTTGTAGAAAATTAAGGAGTGAAACTATTGAACATTTATACCAGTAATGTCAAATAATTTTCCAATTTGAATTACAAGTGGTTATAAAAATACAAAATGGTACAGTACCCTTTAATAGTGAATGTACCCTGCATCATTATTAAATTTCCTGTACCATGTTCACTGTTCCAGCAGGAGCTTACCTCAGGATGGTAATACTCAAACACATACAGACAGTTGTGGACAGTCGACACCAGCAGCAGGTAGACGCTGTTGTCCACAACCAACAGGGTTTGGTCAACCACTCCAAAGGCTGCTAGAGACTGGAAAGCCTCGAAGTTCTTGTTAACTTTATTGTACCGGAATACCTGAAAATTAATTTTACATACTGTACAGTAACTACAGAGTATATGAAGGAAACCCCCCCCCAACAAATTTCCATGAAAAGGAAAACTTGCTTTTAGTAGAGCACAGATGCATTAATTTGCTACCAAATTCCTGGAAATCTTCACTACAGCAAGTAAAACCAGTAACTATTAGTGCAAAATAAAATGCATTCAAGCCGCAAGCCTCATTAATCTTTTGCATCGGCTAAATTATAGAGCTATGCTAGAGGCAGAAATCAAGTAAAAATTTACCCCACTTAACACATCTGCCATTATGAGTAACACCAAAATATTTGGGTTAAAATACTAGACAAACCTCCATATAATGGACTTCTTGCTCCATACAATTGGTTCAATGAGGATATCGCAGCTAATGGACCCTCAATATAACGGACATATCTATTACAGTACATAGTTTGCTAAATAGAAGTCACCACACGATATTTACTTTAATACGCTTTGTGCCTCGTGAAGTACACTTCTCTGTACGTACAGACTAACTTACCAACACTTGCGCTGTATATTTGACGTTATCCGGAAAATATACAGAGTCCGCTTCCTTGAGCTGTGCCAGAGTAAAGAAACTCTCCCCCACAGGCATGTCAACAGTCAGGAACATGCCCGAGCTTGTATGGTCGGCCACATACTCTCCCACCATTGTAAACTGTGGATAGAGTTTACAACCAACATAAAAGGCTGTACCTATATACCAAATGGGTACAGTATCAATTTCAATAATTGACAAATTAACAGGTTAAGTACAGTATACCCAAAATGATGAAGTCAATGGTTTAAAGTAGATTTACAAAGTTTTACCGTACCATTTCTGAAGACATTTCCCAGATGAAGAGTTCTGAGGTAACAGTGTAAGGAGTAACTTTGTCCATAGGATCATAGTTACTGGCCACAAGCAAGAACCAGGTGTTGTCAATCTGAAATTTTTCATTATATCATATCCAAGCACACAAAGGTAAAATCCTAAAATAAACTTGGTAAAGCAACTCAAGTCATTTTAAAGGTTACACGTTATTGTGCTATTTAAGGTAGTGCATTGTTTCACGGCCAACCTGGAGCCCAAGTATCCTGGATTATAACCAACTGCTTGACCAAAGTAATTTTATCTACAGCAAGGCTTGCTCTTTACCTTGGGACAACCCCTGGCAAAAGTGGCGCAGAAATGCCATCTAAAGTAATATTCATGACTTCTGAAAACCCACCACTGTCCCACATTTAAAATGTCCTCCTGTCCCAAAATCCCACTCACAATGTCGTGGACAGTGATGCCACATTCAAATGTGGTTATTCCTTTTTTTCCCAGCTTCCTTTCGTTTTCATGGTACTGTACATATTTACCATCTTCATTGTTTTAGATAACCTCCAGCAATCTGGGAAGATTGTGTACAGGAAGGTTCTGGGGCAGACTACACACCTTAACCTGGATTGTTTACAAAAGACTATTACTTACGAGAGCCAAGTCCATACCAGCGGCTTTTTTGGTAAATTCTCTACTCCAGGTGTTAATTATTCTTTTTCCCACAGCATCAAGCTTGAGGACAAATATTACTGTCTTCTCTGTAGCATCTTTACCTGTGGAGATTAAGGAACATTACCAATATATATATATATATATATATATATATATATATATATACTGTATATATATATATAACAGTTCTCCAACTTTCAATTACAAATATAAACTGAAGAAAATTAAACTTACCATCTACAACCTGTAGCATAACAACCAAGTAATTCATCTCATTTATTATGAATAAACCCGTGCCAGACACCATGCCCATCACATCGTACGTGGCAATGGGCGACGTGCCCAAATAGTAGTCTATATCCACTCTGGCTATTGGTTGACCATTTTCACATCTGCATCAAAATAATTATCATAATTAAACCAGACAAACTTCAACAGTATCCAGGTTTTTGTGTAATAAGTTGCCTCAGGCTGTGGACACCAAGTTAATAATTAAAATGTTAAAACAAGAGAAACTTTGTAAAACTTAAACTTGTCACTAGTTTTCACCATCTCTAAATTTACTGATGCAATTCCACCCTTTTTTTTCTTGGAAAAGGTTCCTCTGACAAGCCAAGATGATAATGTTCATGAGAGATGACAATGTGGTTGGCACATGTGGGGGTAGAGGAACTCGTTAAAACAAGCTTTCATAACCAAGATATAAAGTAATGGCAAAACTAGACAAAGTTAGTAGAGATGAACAAACAATACCTGGAGTATATTGCCACAAAGTGCTGGTCATTTAGGGGATGGTTGACAACATCTACCTTTATGCTGAGTTGAGCCACAGGTTCCAGCCAACCATTACCCTTTACCTGGTGGGGGTTAGAGATATAAATATATGACCAACTTCACCAGTGTACCACTCCCCCACGCACATACTTCCCCACTGTAATTTCATTTTTATAAAGCATTTAATTCACATGTCAACAAACCATTCATTCCACAAGCCAACTCCTTTAATTACTACAGTACATTGATCCTCGGTTAAATAAATTTTGGTTAACGAATTATCTTCCACAAGATTCTTCACTTCGGTTAACGAAAAAATTTCCGTTAACGAATTCCTTAAGAATTTTTCCCAACATGTTTTCACCTGCATTTGGCTGCTCACCAGCTGTAGTATTAGTCCGCCAATACAGTAATCGGTTTTAAGGCTTAAATTCTTTACCATTTCAGTAAATATCAAGAAGGTTGTGCTATTCAATAATTTTAAGTTTTATATTAAATTTTTTAACAATTATTGTAACATAATTGAAGTACAGGAAACTAGTTTTTTGCACGCCAAACAGCCACTCAACACACCAAGCTTGGAGTCAGTTTGTTTATCTGTTCAGAGGAAGGAACATCCTGTTTGAGACTTCAACAAACACTTTTTTTTCTGTTTCCAGTCAAGTTATTGGTCATTTTGAAATATGTGTTGATTTAAAGAAAATAATCTTGAATTACACCAAGTGAACTAAAATTTTATGGGTGAAATGGCACCATGGGGTGACTTCTCTTCCACCCCAATGCCTTCTCTTCTCCCTTCTCCACCCCCACTCTAATTCCCATCATCATCCAGGAGCCTTCAACATACACACCTCAAAGTATGTGTACTTTTCTACCTTTTTTGTTGAATTTAGGCAATTTTCTGTGAGCTGGAACCAATTACCCAAAAACCCATTGAAACAATGGTTTCGGTTAACGATTTTTTCGATTAACGATTTTTTCGGTTAACGAGCAACCTTCTAGAACAAATTTTGCTCGTTAACCGAGGGACCACTGTACATGTAAATCATCTTTTATCAGTTATGAAAAAGTATATTGCACGCCAAGATTTGTTAGGAAGTCTGAAGTAACTACTAACTGCCGTGTAATCTAGAATGATACGGGAAGTGATCCACAAGGATGGAACCGGCAAAGACATCCAGCAAGATGGTAAATTAATGTATAGTAACCTGTATGGACAGCATAATGGGAAGAGGTGAAAATAACTAAGAACTATCAATACATTTTAACAATATATGGAAAACTCCATTCCAGAGGAAGCTAACCTAGTCACTGAAAAAACTCAGTCCTCATATATATATATATATATATATATATATATATATATATATATATATATACACACACACACACACACACACACACACACGTGTATGTGCGTGTACATATATGTATACGTACTGTCAATGAATATGATGCATCTGTGTACGAACCTCTGTCCTGCATGGCAGTGAACAGTGACATCACCCATGTGAATCTGACCTCTATACATTTATAGCTGTTAATTAATATGATGTATTTTTTGTGTATGAACCTCTGTCCTGCATGGCAGTGAGAAGTGATACCACCCTCATTGTCAAGACCTGACTGAATTACTCAGAATAGGCAAACTGTACTACAAGCTCTGCCAATAAATTTGTTAAAACATAAAAAGCACACTGTTCCACCCATAAGTGGTGCAGTCTCGGATCACAGGTTCAGGAGTTTGTTAATGGAGATGAAACAGAACTTTTCCCCAACTATACACAATACTTCAAACTCCATCTTCATCCAGAAAAAATTACGGATCTTGTTCCGCATCCATCGTTTGCATAGCAAGCCAAATATATCAATATCCACAAAAAATTACCCAACCACAGCAGAGCAAAGATAATGAACAAGAAACAAATAATCTTTCATCAAGAAGGGTTAGGCAAGACTTTCATTACTGACCTTATAGTAATGACACTCTGTATCACAGCCACATGGAGGGTTTGGACAACTGATGATTTTGAGGAATAGATCCTCTCCCTCCGTAGCAATGTGCCCAACCCACAGCTCACCGTATACTTCTGTGTCTCGGGGAAACTCCATCCTCTCCAGGTATGATAACTCCGCATACAATTCTGTACAAATTTATCAACAAATAGAATATAGTTCCTCAAAAATACATTAAAAGTTTCAATACCTCCAAAAGGACTAAAACCACCTCTGTTCAGTCATGAGAATTAGTGTAATATTCAAACTTTCAAAAATAGCTCCCAAATCACCTTTGAACATCCCAAAATGCAGCCTGTGGCTGTTATCGTACCTCTGGCATTCATATAATTTTCTTCATTCAGTGAACCAAACTGCCTGAGGAGAAGGTCAATCTTGTGGTACTGGTTACTGATCTTCTCTTTGACCGTAACAATGTCACGACTCAACTGCAACATGTCCAGCCCATTGACTCTGTCGGTCACATCCACCTTCACCAGACACGTCACCAGGTTCTCAAATGTCTGCAAGATATTAAACAAGTACTTTCTGGTGTGACAAGTTAGGAAGGTCCAAATTGGCATTAAATACCAGACATGAATACAACCATACCTCATCATACACTAGAGCACATCTGCCGAGATGTACAGACTTGTTAGGGGCACTGCCGAGACAAACTCGCCTACATGCAAGTTGCCAATTGGCTGCCATTTCAAATCAGACAAGTATTTTTAGTGGTTTGATGCAGTTTACCCCTTGAAATGCATGATCAGTCCCCTGTCCACATAAGGCAAGATTCATTTTTACATTACTACAGTATTTAGTTTTAATATAAAGTAGATGCACAAATCTGCCAAGTAAAAGTTTATTCAGGAATACTGCCTTCACACTGGTCAAAGGACTACTGTACTTGCTGTACACAGACAATCTTTAATACAGTATTTAGTAACAATGCCAAAACCACAACTTTTTCTAGTTACCACAGGAGCTGTGAAGGTTACGTCATTGTCCATAATGACCAGCGAGTTATTGAGGTTCCAAAAGTCTATTCCATTAACAGTAGAGGCGATGATGTCACCATAGACGTGAAGTCCGCCCCTCAGGATCTTTGTACCAGACACCACCTGGTGATCACTGCCGTACCTCAACACCAGATCGGATATAGACACGTTGTTGATGACGCTCACCTCCAGGTCACCTGTATTAACAAAAGCCTTCACTTCCATTTCAATAATATGGACACTGGCACACTAAGAGGCACATGTTCCAAAACTACAGTAGTACACAAATACTCACTAATGTATTGCAAGTCATCCCTTGTACTCGGTTGTAACGACCAAGGTCTTACACGTCAGTTAGCGCCAAAATCAAATGATTCATATTATGCTCAATAGCCCACAAAACGTGTAACTCGGCTTTCGTCGAGTCCTCCATCAGAGGAGTCTGTTTTCTCATCACTTCAAGACACCTCAGTCCTCCGTTACCCCATTTTCTCACTTACTGAAAAAACCTCTAAAATAAATGTGAATGTGAAAGAGAACACCTTTGTTTTGAGTCAACTTAGGTACGTCTGTTTACAGTTGGACCATTCAAGATCCATTGCGAGTGGGGTTGAACGCTTCAACTGTCCTTGTTAGTAAAACGTGTCAAGTAAGGGAGTGTCGAGTTTGCCAGTCAGTGGCATATTTTATGTAGTCCGTGGGAATATCCACGAGTTTCTGATCGCACCTGAAGTTATATCATTTTGTCGCCCCAACATCAGAGAATCTGATGTTTATAGTTGTTAGTGTCAGTTGTCTATTTAAGTCATTAATCTCGAACTATTCTGTCAACTGGTATAATCTCCAAGATCTAGCGTCTCCACGTGAATAGCTCCTTGCTCGCCTCAGGCCTGAGCTTGCAGAATTAATGTTATCGACGTGTATATTCCGCCTTTTCCTGGCAAGCTCAACCTCCGATTAGATTACATGAATAGACAAAGGAAATTGCCCTGATCAAGAACACCGGAGTTCATAACCAAGTACGGTATACAGTGATCCAAAATGGTAGAGAAGTTATGTTGTTGGCAAGATCGACCCTTTTGGTATGAATACGGAGGCCCAAGCTGCCCCACGGGTGCATGTATATACCTCTACACGAGGGAGAATCACGAATTCGTGACTCTTCCTCAACGTCTCTCCAGGTATGTTAACGTGTGTTCCCCGCCGCCTATTAATTCAGTTTAACTTGGTCAATTTTGGTGAATATCAGTGTTCACGTGTTAACAGTGAATTCTCTGCCAATTAAGTCGAGTAACGTAGAGATTTAGATATAGTCTGAACCGTTGCCAGGCGTATGTTTTGTACAGTTGAAGTTAGACATTAACGCATTCATGACTTCCTCAACGTCTCTCCAGTGTGTGGAGCTGAATACTCATCGGCTAACGTGGGGCGGTAACCGGGTTGGACGATGCGGTTAATTCGACAGGATTAAACTGGGAAGTCCGTTTCCTGCAAATCAAATGTCAGCTCCCTGGGCGTGTGTCGGTCTACAACCGACCCCTAACATGGATCTTCATTTGTTGTAGAGACCAGCGTTACCTTGGGGCACTCCTCAGTTACATGGGCCTAAGGGCCAATTGCAAGAACGGTTATGGGGTGTACGACGCCATTTACGATGACCTTCTTGCCCTGATCTTTTTCAGCAATATCGCCTTTAACACATGGAATTATGCACTTTTCGAAGCTTTGGAGGAGTCTCGAAACAAGTTTCCTGGTGGGAATTATTAGCTAGTGCTGTACTCAAAATATCAAAACTTCGAGATCTCTCCAGAGCTTCAAAAGAATGGTATTCCTGAAACAAGATCAGGGCAAGAAGGCCATCGTAAGTGGCGTCGTAAACCCACCGACTGTTCTTGCAATTGGCCCGAAGTATTATTGTATCATGTTTGAGGGATAACCAGCAGAAATATAGTATCCCAGGTTAAGTAATGAACCACTGAATGAGAGTTAAAAGTGTCATGTTGTTCCTTGCAAATTAACAGGAGGTATTGTATGTTGCAATAATTGTGGAGTTGTCCAGTGTGTTATGTATTCATCGGTAGTGACCATGAAATGATAATCTGAGTATAATGATATAACCAAGAAGTGAAGAGTTAATTTGCTACTTGGTAAAGTAAGACCGGAGGGTCCAGTGATATCTGCTGTGTACCCATTACTGAATACCATTTGGCAGAGTAATAATACCACAATTGTCGATTGAAGTAAGAAGTACTTGGAGGTAATTAATGAGGTAATAAGTTCTTGAAGTGTTTGAGGACTTAATAAATAAATTGCAGTTCTGTTTTGTCTGAGTGAATCTAAGATGCATCTTATCCAATCACTGTGTTAATAAATATTGAATTAGTAATCTACGAGTATCACCACTATCCTTTCCCACATTGGTTTTCAGAAAAAACTAACTCACGTGCCTAGAAGCTCGCTACCTAACAGTTAACCAAGATACGTTATATTCTAATAAAATCGTGGGTGGTGGCAGGTCTACCGTTGTAAGTATAATAAGTGTGGTAATAAGAAAGACATGGTTTCCCAGGTTAATCCACGGTTTAGAATATAACAAACAAAATATATGGAAGAAATAATATGAAAGGAAATGAGAAGAAAGAACATTGACTTGGAAAATATAAGCAAAGAAGCATAAGAGTTACTTGTGTAAGAATATATAAGAATATAAGGTATGTAGAGATAAAGAACATAAGAATATAAGCAAGAATATATAAGAATTATATATAAAGAATTGAAGAAGGATAACTATATAAACCAGGATACTCATTGGAAAGAATGCTACAAAGAACATACAAGTATATGAATAAACAAGAAGACTAACAAAAGAATATCTGGACGGTAAATTATGAAAAGAGAACTCGGCCCGTTACACAGTGAATGTACAATTTCCTACATAAACTTGTGTATATTAATTGCTCATTTCATTTATAACCCTGCTCCAACCCAAAATACTGCCTTCACAACTAAGCACATGTAGTCACCTACCTTCAATTACAATATTTTCAAAAGTATAGAAGCCAAGTAATGTTTGTGTAGCATCCAACAAAACCCTGGTGGAGAAGAGGTAACTCAGGTCCTCCCCGTCCACACTACCGGACACCTGCATAACAAAAGGACCATGTCATAAGTAATTTATTCAATTCTTTATATTGGCAATTCCGTGGCATCATCCTCGGGCAAGAGTGTCAGCCACACCAGGAAATTTCCCCAACATTTCAGCCAATGACCACAGCCACATCTACACTTGTTAAGAAATACTCGACTTTCCAATTATCAAACCAGTTAACGGTTGCTTGTGGAGTGTGGAATGCAATTACTGTACTCAAGTTAACACAAATGGAGAAAAGAGGATAGAAAAGCACAAGCAAGCATTACACTATACTTAAATTGGGTTCAGTGAAGGCACTCGAGGTTAAAATGCGGAAGCTCACAAGGCAGACTAGTGCAAGTGTGGCCTGAAAATCAGTAACTGCAGGCAAAAGGTACACAGAAGGTTACAACTTTTTGGAAACTCCAATTATCTAGCAGATCACTGGTGGTTTTACTAGTCATAAACTAGTAAAAAAAAGTTTGTACTGTACCTCAAAGTAATTTTCCCGACTACTTGCCAATTAATATGAATGCCTGGTGAACAACCCAGCAAAATTATACTAACCTGCATAATTATCCTTCATATATAAACTTCATAAAAAAGTAAACACAATCTGAACTCTTCAACTTTCAACAAATTATCTCACCAAAAGGTGTCCCAGAACGGCGATGGGGGCAGTAAATATGAGGTGTTGAGTAACGGCAAGACCTCCGGACAACACCACCAGGTCCCGAACTGCCACACCTCCCACCCGCACTGGAAGTAATTATTTAGGTGGTTTATATTTAACAAGTCCAGAAAATACAACTAGGACATTATAAAGATTCACTAAAGAGATGCCAAACTATTTTATTCAACATTGCCGCTATAAACAAAGGGTTAAGTTATATCTACCAACACAAACATTAACCCTAACCTTACTCCCTGCTGTCAGAAGGGAACTACTCTAATACCTCAAAATAGTTCTGCCTTACCAGCATTGAGATGATTAACAGAGAAACCATTAAGGAAGGATTTCAGGCCTGTAATGACAACTGAACCTCCATTGGCCAAAACAGCACGGGCGTGTATGTCCGAGACGTCAACACCGTTCACCAACACTCCTCCACCACCACGGCCTGAGAGTGCTGCCTTCACCTCTAAATTCTTCACTGTCAAGCCTTTGGTGAAGCTTATATCACACACTATATCCTGTAAAACAAAAGCTTATATCACACTATACTGTAAAACAAAAGCTTATATCACACTATACTGTAAAACAAGAGCTTATATCACACACTACATCCTGTGAAACAAAAGCTTATATCACGCACTACATCCTGTAAACAAGGTTGTGGACAAGAAATAAATACCACCAAAGATCACAACTCCACACAACATACCATGTCTTCATTCTGCATTACACTCGAGCGAAACAGTTCATTAATGTCCACATTGTTGATGGTGTCCACTTGTAGATGACCTATGTGGACATCATTAAGGAACTGCATCTTGGCTGTTGAACAAGAGATAAAAGTAAAGTTCTACATCAGATTATGAAGTTGCCTACAAGAGGCTAATAAAGAGGGAGCCTCCATCATCTATGTACGTACTCGAAAACTAGTCCTGTGACAGGACACCACAGCCTTCATGACAAACATTTTCTTTTACAAATTCATAGTTTATCAATTTTGATAAAATCTTTAGAATTTTAAATACTGTATTTCATTTCAGCACCAACCTCAAACTTCTGCAGAACATCTTATGAATAAAGATTTATTTTACCTTTAACTGTTCATCTGTACAATAATACTAATCCAACATGTGCCAACACTGTACAGTAGCCTTCATGGTCAACAAAGTACCCCCACAAACATCATAAAGCTCAGCCTCCTAATTATTTCCATCTTTCATTCTATCTGACATCTAACCAGCATCTGAACACCTAACCTTACCTGTAATAACCTGGTCAGAAGACTTCAGGACAAGAGTCTTCAGGAAATGGTTTACATCAACTATGTTACCAGACTTCATCGCCCAAACATTATCAGCATATGCATCTCCCTCAACCACGAGTGTGTCTATTATGACGACAGAGTCTATCATCATATCGGAGTGGTCTTTCCAGATCGCCCCATTTTGAAGCTGAAAGTAGTAGAATTTTAGTCCATCTTTTGTGCAGATGACATGGGGGATATTACCTCCGTACTAAGCAGGATTGCAGTGGAGCATCTTCAACAACTTTTGGGATCTGTGCCAAGATCGATCATATATTTCTGGTCGATAGCAGTTTACAGACAAGATACAAGGTTAAAATTACAAGAGAACCACAAAGTACTTTTTAAGTTAAAACAAAAAATATGACCCATACCTTTCCCACATTACAACCATCTAGGACATTTGTATCCGAAGTTAGTCCCACGAAGGAAACGTCCTTGGCGAAGGTCACAGTGCCACCCACATGTCCGCCCTCGTCCACCAACATTATTGTGTCCATATTAACCCCATCGATCACTGGGGCTACCAACTCCTCTGGAAGGGGAAGAACACTTCGTACACTACTACATTATAAAAATAGGTTCATACAGTCTATGAAAAGAAAGCCGCTTGAAATGTGACAGCTCAGGAATAAGTGTTTAACCAAGTCACCTGCCTTACAATGGACCAAAGTACACAAAAATAAGACTTCCACAAATCTATAAGAAATTCATCTCCACATACCCGCAACAACATCACTGGTGAAGGTGTAGGCCCCATATACCACCTGTTCACCAGACCGCCTCAGTATTCTGGCAGCAAGAGCACTCACGTCTATGCCATTTATGGTCTTTGGGTAGAAGTCTCCCTGAATGTACAGTGGCCGAGTGAAGATCTTCCGCCCCACGATCTCTCCGCTATAGTTGAGCAGTACCACCTGAGGGTGTTCACGGTTGTATTTTCATGACCGAATTAATATTTAGGTCAACTTGCATCAGTTTGTAAAGCCATTTAAAAACTGCAAATAATTACATTGTTCAGATGTCGAGTCCAATCTTCTCCATTAACTGTGCCCAGTGATAGCTCCTGTACAAAGTGGACATCTCCCTCGACAGTGACTGATGAAGTAACGTGTTGTGGTGTGTCTGAAGACTTCTTAAGAGCTCGGTTTACCATGTTCTCAATGTCTACTCCATCCACCATCCCCTTTACCATCAGCTTGTTAACTGCCACAATACCAAATTCTCAAAATTACTTCAATACATTATATAGTATATCAAGTTTAAACATGTATGTCTTGAAGGCACTGTGTCCATGGATTATATTGCCTTCAGTTCAGAATAGAAAATTAGTCCAAGAGCAATATTTTTCACAGGATACCCAATTGTGGCTTGACATGACCCAACAGTGCTGGTCCTTCAAACGAACCTTTTCTGGCAATAGACTACCAACAATCAAACCTCGGTCATTAAAAAAAAAAACGTTACTACCATGAACATCCCCAGTGAAGCGGAGGCCACCAGCTCCCATTATGGTAGCATCTTGACCCAACAGTACGAGGTCACCTGCAGCAGCCTCCACGTCCAGACCATTCAGACTCTCAACAGTCATATCAATATTGATTACATTTAATGTCATCATATCCACTTTGTTCATGAAGGTCAGTTGGCCTGGGAAACAAGGAAAGTTGAATTAATCAAACTTCCCAAGTAATTAACAAGCTATCAACGGCAAAGATAAACTAAATTAAAGTTATGGTCCAACATTAACATAAATAACATTAACAGTCCACTTACCAGTCTGTGGAAGGTTTTTATCAAGTCTCATGAGGTCTGTTGCAATATCCAGACCGTTGAGCAAGCCTCGCAGGTCAAGATCTCCAACAATACTCACTTTACCAAGGAAATTCTGAAAGCAATATTTTTTTAAATAATATTTACATCAGAATGAGATAACCACACAATTAGGAAAAAAGTAATGAAAGTATCTTTGTAATGTAGTCTATATCATATGACTAAATAATACAGCATCAAGAAAACTAATATTGCACTAACGTCAGTAATATAACAGTGGTACAGTACTCGCCATTTGTCCAGTAATTGTCTGGTAGCCTTGTAAGGTCACCACATTGTCCAGAAGTTCAGAAACGTCCACCTGGTCCACCGTGCTGCCTTTGGCCATCAGCAAGTTCCCTTGTACCACCACTCCACCCTAAACGATGTAATGGTATGCAAATCTGCCTTGTATACAGTAATTTATCAAACAGACTTAAAACCTTATTACCACCAGAAGCCTCTGCCAACTGGAGCCTTCGACTTATTTCGAGAGAAACAAAAAAACCGTTACACTGCCAAGAAGTGTTTTTAGATAACTAACGAAGCCATTTCTTAGAGGGGAGTTTATCCTAATACTATACAGAGGAAGATTCTTTTTTCACTAACAACAAACCGGACTATTTGATCCAGCACCTGATACACTTAATAAAGCTAATATTTTCTCAAGTTTACAGAGGACGGTCATTTTTGGTTTTAAAAATAATTTTAACAACCCAGTAAAGACTCACCTGGAAGATGTAGTCCGTAGACAAAACCTGTTGGCCCCTCTTGTGGAGGAAGTCACTCATCATCCACCCATTAAGCGTTTCCCCAGTGACTGCACTTCTGAAGGCAAATAGTTCTGGGTTTTAATGCTTTTTCCACTTAAAATCTTTTATATAATGTTCTTTTTACCATCATCTTCCTACCCATACTAGTCTTTACACTGCTTTCTGAAACAATCACCCAGTACAATACTTTAAGAAAATTTCCCAGTGTCAAGCTTAGTCTCAACCACCCTTATTATAGTATTATAACTTACTACCATATATAATGCCATCTTGTATTAACCAACATCCCATCTCTATACAATACTCGGTTCTCCATTATATCCATCAACTAGTTAGGTTTCTCTCATAACCCCAAATTGAGCATTGCTAATTATTCAACACATCCACCACTGATTCCCAACAGCCCACTCACTCACTCGAAGACAGCGTTGTTTAGGTGAACATAAACGTTAATGTCCTGATCAAGCGATTTGCGCCAATAGCGACCACCCAAGTTGTCCAGCATCAAGCCATTGACTCTTCGTGCGGTCACACTACCAGACAACTGAGGAGAAACCAGATATAGTATTATAATTTTACCCAAAACAATCTACAGAATTACGGGAAGCTTTACACTTTCAACTTATCCTCTTTGCCAGGTGTGTATGTTGACCAAGAGCTGAAGTTCTCGGGCCATTGCGAGAAGGTAAATCGGGCAAATAAATTATTAGGTCTTTTAAGAAGGTCTCAGATATCTAGACAGTCAGACCCTCATAACGCTGGAGTACTGTCACCCCGTCTGGTCCCAGGGATATACTAGGGACTCCCAGTCGTTTGAAAAGGTTTAAAGGAGGGCCACCAGACTGGTGCCTGCACTTCGGCACCTCGGCTACCCCGAGAGATTGGAGCGCCTGAACTTCCCTAGCTTATACTAAAGACGGGCAAAGGGGGCGACCTAATGGAGGTGCATATGCATCTCAAGGAGCACTAATCAGTCTAGTGTCCTTACCAGGAGCTGGCAGACGCTCGCCCCACAAGGGGTCACAGCTCGAGGCTGAAGAAGCCGCAGGTCCAGAAAACCCAAGGCAAACTTTCTTGGAGAGAGTTAACTCTCGGAACATCTGCCAGAAAGTGTTGTGATGGCACCGGGAGCGAGTTCCTTCAAGACCAGACTTGACCAACACCGGAGCGGGTTCAGGTACATTCAGGAGCCGGTGCATGCCCAGTACTTGACAACAGTGCATAACAGACGTGACCGATCACCCAAACGGCTAACAAGCCATCAGTGGTGAAGAGGATAAAAATAGTTATAAAATTGATCGGCCGGTTAGCTGGCTGACTGGCTAGCATGTAGAATAGTGGCAATGAGGATAAAGTAAAAATGGATCAAGTAAAACTTACAAGTAGAGGTCTGGAGAAGCTTGTCTCTTGGTCAATGATCAAGTCTCCCATACCACCAAACTCTGGCTGCAGGCTGGAGGGGTCGACATTATTTACGGTTCCTCCCTCCTCCATCACCACGCCCTCTACCCCAGTCACACTCACAGACTCTTGAAACTTTATGCGACCTGCAGAAAGATGGGAGATGCTTATTAACCAATGACCAATCCTTGTGTCAAACTCTGGCTTGTGCTTCAAGTAGATTAATATGTCTAACTTCACCAAGAAAAACATTCAAATTAAATATACAGTACTCATACCATTCATTCTTAATTTGTCCATCTTGGGTGAATTGCAGTACAGTAATGTAATCTGTCCAACTTCATTATCTAACTACATTAGCTAAAGCCAAAGAATACACTAAACTTAATTCAATTATCCAACATTCCACCACAACCTTCAACACTAGCCATTTTATCCTCTACTCGTGTTACTGAAGGTTAACATTCACCTCCACTGTCCATAAAGATCTCCCAGACAAAGAAACAGTTTCCAAGCCATCATACACTAAATTCACCCATTGTCAAGTTAAATCCATCCTAAGACCTGTCAACTTTACAACAAAATAGGCCACTCCAAACACACCCACACTTACCATTTATTGTCTGGCTCATGTCCACCAGAACAGCTTCCTCACTTGGATCCAGACCATTGATGTCGTCAGAGTCTAGCGAGCCAGTCACGGTCACCTCCGAGAAATGATAAGTGCCAGTGATTTTGTCTGGAGAGCTCCGGTCCACTATGTTCGACCACAGCACGTCGTTGATGGTCTCCGACACAACCGAGTTCGTCACCACCAAGTCCTCTCTGTACACCAGACCACCTGACCAACCAATCATGTACAGTACATTTTCACCAAAAGGTTTTACACTGCATAATGTCTCATTGAAGATTAGGGTATACAAAGGCTACCTCAACAGTTACCAAGGATTAATTATCGGTCAGTACTATACATGCTGCACACGACTTTTTCTCTACCATTTTCCATAATAAAAATTCTTAAGACAGGACCCAGTATAGAATCAACATAATCCATATACACCAGCACACGACTCGTGAAATATGGGACAACTCATTGCATAGCTAAAAGTGAAGATCAAATCATGCCAAGAACAAATATAAACAATACAGTTCTGCAGGAAAACGGTGATGCAAATGCACAATTATAAGGAGATGCAATAACATTTCACGTGTTTTACTAAGTACACCACATCTGATTTCTTAATGATAACCATTCATGTACACTGCCACAGGTGACTTGGTGGAGCTGCTACCACACAACCAGGTTTCACGATGGCACTAATGTACACTGGACCTAGCAGACTATTTGCTATACGTTACTCCCTGCCCCCAACAGCTGTACATCTCCCAGATCTACAATTGTCCAGTTACTACATTGTACATTCCTAGATACTGTACTGTACTATATTTGTTTCTATCTACCTGTACTGTACTATATTTGTTTCTATCTGCCTATAGGCCCTATACTGTACTATATTTGTTTCTATCTACCTGTACTGTACTATATTTGGTTATATCTGCCTATAGGCCCTATACTGTACTATATTTGTTTCTATCTACCTGTACTGTACTATATTTGTTTCTATCTGCCTATAGGCCCTATACTGTACTATATTTGTTTCTATCTACCTGTACTGTACTATATTTGTTTCTATCTGCCTATAGGCCCTATACTGTACTATATTTGTTTCTATCTACCTATACTGTACTCCCAAACCAATATACAAACCTGCCATCCTGTAGTTGCCGTATTTCTTGACAACGCTACTGTCGAGCTCAACAACATTGATGCCATTGATGGAAAAAGCTGCCACGTTGCCCCTCACAGTGACGCGGCCCAGGGTGTAGTTCCCCACCAGTGTCAGCTTTGGTCCTAGGTCTGTATACACCACCTGACTTGCCAGCTGGCTCAACACCACCTGTCCATATTCTCCCATTGAAAATGCTCTTCAAAGAAATAATTTATCATGTGAACATCTAAGTTAGTGATGCCAATTTTTAAGCGTCTTCCATGTCTTGTCAATAAACAGCCAAAAATGATGAAGTAGCACCTGTACTAAGGCTCTGCTGTACGGATAGAAAGTAACAGGACTATACCAAAATTGGGAAAGATCAATACATTTGAACACCAGCATCTCGTGTTCATCCAAATCGCTTCCTTCAAATGGTTTATTCCACTAAATGACTAAACCAACCCCTTCCTGACCCTCTACCAGATACTCCTCAATATGGATCCTCAGTATATTGCTCGAGGCACCCCCTCTACTTACATTATTAATAGTTTCAATATCCATGGTCCCAGTAACCATCATGTTGGGAAAAGTCTTCTTGTCAAGGAAAGTAACATCAGACCCCATGATGACAATGGTTGAAGTGTCAACACCATTAATGTTTATGGAGAAGTTGTTACACATTCTGTTGCAGATCTCATCAGCCACTATGGTTTCGTAGATATGGTGTCCAGTCACCACCTGATCCATCACACTACGACGCATCAAGTCTGGTGACGAGAATGTTAATGGTATACAATACTAGTTTACAAATATGCAAGCAAACTCCCCTCCATGGCAGACAGCAAATACAAATTACAAGAGCGAGAACAATTCCTCAACTAATACTTTTCTCACCCACTCATGTACACTAAACTCGTGTAACTAGTATGGCGACCTTTATGGAACAAACTTAATTTTCCCTTACTGTCTGCAAACAGACTTCCATGAACCGCCAGCCCAAAGAATTAAAGTTTTAATATGGAGTGGGAATAAATTTTTCCTGTTTATCAATGGATCAAAATTCTACTTTTTATAATATTGCTAAAGTACATCATTACAGTAATAGGGGCACCTTACTTCAGCTGCTAACACTAGCTTTTATGATCCACTTGTCAGCTATCATGGGACTGGAGAAAACTTATATCAAGTACTGTACTAGGATCGTTACAGTATGTATAAAAAAAACACTTAAGTAAGCAACACATACCACTGGTCAGAATTCCCGAAATGGTTCCTGGTGGGGAGCGGGTGCGAGTGCTCAGCACGTCCATACTTAGGTAGTTAGCTCGCCATAATCCCTCAATTGTTTGGTCTGCACCGTCCATAAGGAACATTTGGTCTATATTGGCTAATGGCACACCATTTACCTGAGGGAATAATGATTAATATCAAAATGAACAGTAGGACGTCCATTAAAACTGTACAGTACAGTAGTTTCAAGATTGCCATAAATTAAATTTCCTAATCATCACCACCAGTAATCAAGACCCCAGGATCAGAGACAGTTCGATTCAACAACCCCATTACAATTATCTTCCATCATGTTTGCTCATTAACCGAAGCATTACAGTACTAAAAGAGTTCCCTTAAGCACATTCATGCCAGTATACACTTGCCTTGTTCAGTATTAGTGCATCAAAATATACAGTATCTATGGAAAGGGAGGTGGCTTTGATGGGTCCTGTGATGGTCTGTGCACCTGAATGGTACAGCACGGAGGACAGCTGCTCTTTCACAAGATACACCTCAGTCTGCCAAAAAAGGAAACTGGTTAATCTTTATTGTACAACTTCCTTGTTACCGGTAAACTCAACCAAGATATGCTCCACGCAAACACGATTACTAGATTAAATATCCTTCCAGAATGCCTCCATCCTATTCGAACTACACCATCAGATAATCTACGATGACTGAATCACCTATACTACAGTAGTTTGGTGACAACAGCCAGTAGACTCTTCCACACAATACTGTACCTGAAGCTTGGTGATGGCATCATTATATTCCTCTATGGATTGATTAGTAAAGCTTCCTTCCTCAGGCTTCCCAATTACTATCGTCTGGTAAGCAGTAGTCTTTCCATTCACCCACAGCTCCGAGAACCCCACTGGTCCACCCCAAGTCTTACATAAAAAGAAAAGTAAATTTAAGTTACTTTCCAAGTATTAACCTACCAAGATGTGCTACCATCATTGTCTACTATATGAACTTGTATGGACCCCCCACAACACAAACTAGGTACAATACAGTACTACAGTCTGGGTAAAAGTCACCAGCAACTACAACAAAAACTGGATGTGAACCTGAGGATGGTCAACTGTCATGAGGGCGTCGCTGGTGACCACACTCTCTAGGTAGGCGATGTCCTTCTTCCTGTCCCCCAGCATGGTTGTCAGCTGCTCCAGGCATCTTAATAATGGGTCTCCTTCAGTTTCTTCTTTACCTGTGCACCAACAATGAAGGACTGAACATCTTAACACCGCAATAGCCAGGGTCATTTGGCACCGGGGATGAGGAGCCAGCATAAAGTTCAACCAGTGCTTATGTCACCATTATTAGCCCATTCTGAACTACAGTCTAGGACATGCCAGTATCCATCTATCTAAACTCAGCTTACCTGAAGATGATCTTAACTGTGTACCTCATTAAAGTAACTGCAATTACAAGGTAGAAACTGCCACGATAAAACATCTATACTTGGGATTTTTATGGTAATTTTGTGCCAATAATCTAACGAATTCTAAATACCTTTTCCCTCATTTTCACCAACAAGGCAAGAACATTTTATACAACTGATCACAATAGACACCATGTATAACTACTTTTGATAAGATATTACGACTCCACAATTGGTTCTTTACAACCTATGAAGGAGGAGTCCTTACCCAACACCACAGTCTCCAGGTGAAGGAGTCTGGCCTCTAGCCTGTTGACAGTTCCTGTACACACATAAAAGATATAGTAGTCTGGTCCCAGCCTCACTCCATGAAGGTCCTCAACGGTGATGCAGGTAGTGTGCAGCGTGAAGGTGGCCGAATAGTGGCCCGTCATGTCGTCTGTGTACAGGGTGATGGTCCCCTGCCAGAGAACAGTATTATATTAACAAGGTGTCGGGAACAGCAGCACATCTGGAAAGTTTCAAAAAAATTAAATTCAGTGTACTGCTTTACATGTAGAACAAATCATCAAAATTGTGACTTGGACCTACCCCATTGGAGATCAAAATTATGCTTTCTAGGTTGTGCAGCACCAAGATGCCAGCAGAATTCGGAGAACCAACAGCCTCCGAGTTCACCAGCTGTTGCCATTCCTGCATCTGATCACCTGTAACCACAAAACAAACATTTGTTTATATCTGATAAATCTTCTTAAACACCAACCCATAATCAGTGAACAGGAGGAAGGATCTTACTACTCCACCAGTATATTGTTGGTGTGGCGTCACTGTTCAGCACCAGGACGTAGTGCTTGTCGTCATGAGGGTCTCTGTAGTGGATGACCTTCTTGACATCTGTGTGGGGCAGCTGCTGGATCAGTGTCACTCTGTTCATCACGGTGTTGAACTCGTAGACTTGAGACCCTTCCTGCCAGTAGAAACGGGATATAAACCTACACAGTACATCCAGGAAGCATCTCATCACTGCACAATGGATTGAACAAACGCACAAGGGAGGTTCATAAGCTTTATTACCCTTCATAGACGTGACCGATCGCCCAAGCGACTAACGAGCCAATCAGTGGCGAATAGGATAAGTAAAAAAGTTCAACTATTTCTGGTTGCCTTCTGTAGATGCACTTACTAGTACTGTGCTTTCTCAGATCAGAGGTGATCTATAGTACCAGTGCACCAAGTAAGAGCCTCAGTGTAAAGACTTTCACCACTATACGCCTCATGACCCCACTAGACAAGCAGAATTATTTCTCTTGAACGTGACAATTATTAGACAGCCATCAATGATGATCATTACAAACTTCCCAGTTATGACAATCCGAAGTATACAAGAACTATTAATTCCAGAATAGTACAGTACATATATTGTAGTCAGTTCATTACGAGCTGCCCAAAACCTCCAACACATTACTATTAATAGAAATTAAGGAACCAAGAAAACTAAACCTCAGTAATACTTGCAGTAGACTTCATGCCAAAGATCAGGTAGTAGTTCCCCCCGTCAGTAAACCCGGTGATGTCCCGTACTCCAGAGGCTCTCAGCTGGAGCCCTTCCAGGTGGTCAAAGTATTCCCCAACCATCACGTACATTCTGCAATATTTGTTCTAGTGAACAAGCAATTAACTTTAGAAGTATAAATGCTTTAGCATTACGCTCTTGGGTATTAAAAAAATAAAGGATACCCTTATAAGAGTTAAGTACCGGTACAGAATTTTTAAAGTGGAGAAATACCACATTTGCATCTACAGGACTGGGCAGGATGCAGCCCAACAAATAGGAAGGCTGTGCGACTCACGCAGACTGTGTGACACCATCATCAAGGGTGGTGTAGTAATGCTCGCCCACTACCAAGTAAAGCCTTCCCGCTGCCTCAAATATATGCAGCCCACCCACCACACCCCTCGAGGGGATGGTGTGAGGCATACGCAGGAGTCCCGTCTGAAGGTTGATGCACACAATGCTCACCAGTCGTGATGATGATGAACCCAGAGCCAACACGAGGAACCCTGAGTAGATGTGAGCCTGTGGAGAAATACTAGCTTGAAGTACAGTACTCGAGAACAGTTTACCATGTCAAATATTTATACAGTTACCTTGGTAGAAGATGGCACCACACTTATCACTTACAATGATCCTTCAGCATTAACCCATTTTACGCTTACAACAGCCAAGTATAGACTGGTAAACTCAATACAGCGAAATCTCTAGGATCCGGACTAAAAGGGGGACCACCTGCCTGGAAAAGCAGACTACGGATTTTCCGGCAAATAATGAACACCAAAAATACAGTACTAATGTAGTGATAAATTACCGTATATAAACAATGCATTTACCTATATAAAACATTGTATCAGTACTAGAGTGAATGAAATAAAATTCTCAAACAATTGTCAACTGTTTAGGTTTCCCACCTCCTCAGGCACCTGCGTCCAAGCAACTGTCCGTTCAAGTAACGCCCACGAAGCCAAAATGATTTTTGTTCTGGTTTTGCAATTTGTCTTGGGGAAACTTCTAGGAGGCTTCTTAGCCCAGAACCCCTAAATATTTTGTACGGATCTTCCGAAATCTGGATTTCCCGGGCCCTGATTTTCGAAGGTTCACATTACTAGGAGGTACCCTACAGTGAAGCTATAATACTAGACACGAGCCAGTTTCAAATGCTTCAAGAGGGCAGTACAAGACTGCCCAGTTCCGTACTTTCTAGTTTAATTGTATTAACAAACTGACCAGGTCAAGTACAGGAAGCCCAGAGATGTCCGTCACCAACTTCTGATGCCAAGAACAAATTACAAAAAAGCAATAGGTTTTTCTAACTTCAGATTTCTGTTATCTACTTCAAGTCAGCCTGGGATAAATTTTCCTAACTTTGGATTTTTGTAAACCGGATCTTTGTAAATTGGGTACTGCCTTTACCTTTTCCTCACTTTTTCCAATCTTAAAAGTTAAACCTTCTCAAGAGTCGTTGTTCTAGACCATTAAACAAAGTCCTCCCTTCCCTCATCCCCATCACTCACTGCTATCCTGTTAACCATGACGATACTGGTGGACGTCAGCTGGAACCTGGCGATGACCCTCATGGTTTGGTCGACGGCAGACCACGCTACTACTCTCTGATATTCATTTCTGTAAGGTAATAAAGAGTTACTACAACACCTGGAGTTTCATAATAAATTTGCAGTGCACATTTCACGAGCTGCTGTGCCGTATGTCTGACCACATCTTACAAGCTACGGTAAAGTCTGGACCTTAGTGCTGTCTATTCCTTATCTCGTGTCTATAATTTTAAAACTAAAATTTTCAGTCTAGAACCAACTCCAGTAGAGGCACTAATTAAATTTTATGTAACCTGGTTTCATGATGCCCTTCCATTGACCACCTAGTCCGAGACAGCCTCCCCATCCATATCTTAGACACTAAAGGTATACAGGGTAGTAAATAAAAGGACATTGTAATAGGTTTTTTGGCCCATGTGAAGCAGCTCCTATTTACACAACCATCGTTGCTTATCAGTCAAAACTATAATTTAAACTTTTCAAAGAAAGATGAACCTTTGCCACAAACTCATAACGTCTCCAGAGATTGTCCACAAGATTTTTCATTAATCTTCCTTTATAACATAATTCGCTCAGCCTTCCCCCAAAAGTCATTCCATATTGGTTAATTTCTCACCAATAACTCAAGTTGCCCCATTTACCACCCAACACCCCTCCTGACCAGTGTGCACGACACAGGTCAACTTGCCTGGGTCCTCCCAAGATCCAGTAGGATGTGTGTTGGCGAGTCAGGAGGTGGAGGCCAGTCACCTGGTTCATCCAAGAGGAGCCATCCCCTACTGATCCCTCCAGGTCAAATTGGGCCAACTGTGTCCCGATCACCTTCACCGATTTCATGTCCAAACCTAGAACACCAGAATATATTTAGTAGATGTACACGACACAGGTTTACGCTGTACCCGATATCTCTTTAGTTTCTCAAAACGCAAAGAGTACAACCTTAACATTCCTGGCTTATTCAAGTGTTCAGTAAACAAATATAATAAAAGCCTTAAGAGATCCACAACATCTGTGAGGTCCCAACTATACTACAGTACACTAATCTTACAAATGTCTAATTCTTCTTGTACCACCGTCTTGGTGTACTGACCACAGTTGCAAGTTATTTAATGTAAAATCAGAAGATTCATATTACGCTCAATAGCCCATAAAACATGTAGCTGTAACTTTATCGAGTCCCGTCCGAGAACCACGTTTTCTTAGCGCTTCAGTACGCTCGAGTCCCCCGTTTTTTCTCAAATAGTACCGACCGATATTCCTCAGTATCTCGCATTATGAAATTTGAAATTGCAACCGAATGCATACAGTACGTTACATTGAATTTGATAGGTAATTACAGATGAAACATTCATGATCCCTTGTTAGTGATATTGAAAGCAACTATATTTACTTTCAGTAAAATTTGCAATTTAGTTTCGAGTCTTCAAGTACTTTTAATTTTTATCCTCTTCACCACCGATCGGCTCGTTAGCAGCTTGGGCGATCGGTCACATCTGTTACACACTGTTGGCATGTACTGTACAGTACTGGCCATGCACTGGTTCCTAAGTGTATCTGAACCTGCTCCAGTGCTGTCAAGCCTGGTCTTGAAAGCATTCATTCTTTGCCATCACAACACTGGCAGATTGTTCCAAGAGTTCACACCCACTACAATAGTTACCCTCAGTTTCATGGGCTTGCGGCTTCAACTTTGAGCCGAGATCCCTTGTGGAGAATGTTTCTAATTCAGCGAAATTAAATGAAGTGTAACGCACCCTGGGAGCTATACCCGGGAAGACGAGCCAGTCCAACCGACTAGTAACAGTGCGCTTCATTTGTTGTAGTAAACACCGGTGAAGGAGCCTGGTGTATTAATAATCTATTATATGTGCAAAGTAGAGTTCTTGAACCGGATTGTGGAAAATTAAAGAAATATATTTGTCCAAGGTAGAGTATTACATAAATATTGATATTACCAGTATTTGAATCCTATGCATTGTTAGTAAACCAATGTGTACTCCCAACAGACCTGATACAGGTTCCACGTTTACTCAGAAATAACTGTTAAAAATAATGTATTAAACTCGTCTATTAGCAAGTGCAAAATTACCATCTTTATTGACAAAGAAATACTATAATATCCTTACAGTCATAAAATGTTCAACATTAATCGATGAACTATTTTGTTACTTGTGAAGCAAGACCTAGTGGTCCGTTTTTGTCCGAGTTTACAGTAGAACAATCAAGGAGACAACCTATTTTTGCTGTAGTGGATAAAGGTTCAAATTGTCACATGTACATTTTAATAAATATCGATTCGGTATTTTGCGAGTATCGCCACTCCTTTCCTTCTAACAATTGCTTCCAAGAAAAACACCAACCCATGTGCCTAAGCTAGCTACCTAACACTTTAATGACACCAGTTATATTCTAATAAAAGCCAATTGGGACCACTGCTGTACAGTACTTCTATCACTTACTTCTCCTGTAAAGGCGGGACTCCTCCGTGAAGGCTTTGGAGATGTGGAGACGAGCCAGTTCAGTGAGGGAGTCCATATAGGTGTCCAAGTCATCAAGGGTAACCAGCGGCACCTCTCCCATCCTCCCCGGCTGAGGAGTTCAACAATTATACAATATACTTGTGTGGGTTAAGCCAAGTAAAGAGCAGACACCTATTACTGCACTGTATAAATGACACCAAAAATCTTAACTATGGTATGGTAAGGACTGTTCCATACCATACAGTCCAGTACTATTGTACAACCACAGGTAATGTTTGTTTGTCGTCCAGGGAATCTTAGAAATTTAACGACTGGAAACCGCAATTTAGACAAATCCAAGACACTTTCTCTATGACGTTTCCCTCACAAATGACCTGACCTAACCTAACTGGAGCCCCCCGCCCCAAACCTATGCAAGTCATTTGCCAGGGAAACGTCAAAGATGATTAGGGTCATAGAATTGTGTAAACTACCGATTCTAGTCAAATTCCTAAGATTCGGAAGACCTTAACTAAAATACCACATTTATTAGGCAAGTTGGTTAGCTGTTATTTTACGTTTGTATGGAAGGTTAGCTGAAAAGTTGCTCGTGTTAAGTCATTCTCTACTGGCAAATGGAGTCATTTAACCTGAATCATTGTTGACGACATCTGCACTAATTTTCTTTATATACTACAGAAAAATAGAGGTAATGTTGCAATTCTCAACTTTTATAGCTATATGAAATTTAAATAAATTTCTTTGTGTACATTTTTCTTAATTGTCCCACAATTACATTCAATGTAGTAAACTATTACCCAACTTCACCCCACCTGTGTGGACTATACGACCATTAGCGAGTCTTTGAATAAATAACCTACATTAAATGTCTAGACAGTGGAGCAGAACACACCATCTTACCATGTGGGGGAGTAGGGAGGGTGTAGACGATGGGGTTTCTTGTGTGGTGACCAGAGAAGGCAGCCACCACCACCACATCACCAGCCATGTCCAGTTTCCACGCACCATCACCAAGAGACCTGTAAAGTACTTGTACAAGTTAACTTTAGTAGTTGTACAAGTAGTGAACTTACACCAAGCTTTCTGTATAATGGAAAGCTCTTAGTTTACCTAACAGAACGCCTGCATCAGGTTTATATTCCCCGACGGACTGACTAAATGTATACCGGTTACAAATTTAAGCAAGACTACAATAAAACTGGAACAGCTTAATGTATTAAACGTCCCCTAATGGCCTACTTGACAATTCATAAGTACTTTAGTTCCCAAATTCACCGACTTCCTAAAGATTTGCCCGATAAATAAAACAAACCGCTGGTTATTAAAGAACACCTTGATGCAGCAGAAGGACAACTTTACAGTAAGTGTAGTAAATGAAGCACCAACAAAATACAATACCTTCAGTAACTCGAGTTATGTATAATAAGTATTCCTTGCGGCTGCCTCCGTCCCCTCGCCACCACTCACAGGGACCCTACTGCTCTCTGCCCCTTAACTGACAGCGTTGTAATCTGTCCCAGGGTAGACATACTAAGACATGTCACTGCTGTAGTGTAGAGAACTACGTTGAGGAGAGGTCATCTGACGGTCATCATCCCAACTAAACTCATCATCAAATCAGTTAGAGAATACGTTTATGGATAACAATAATAATTTCCAATGTTATACAAAATACTGTAATATAGATGATAATAATTAATATTTGACTTTATCAGTTTATTTATTTTCCCTACGTTGTCAGTTATTATTTTGGCGTTATTTGAGGAGTTCCACTTCTAGTAGACTTCTCGCCCCTGACTCGTTGGTCAATCGTCACCGTGAACTATCTAACAAGACACTTACGACAATGAGGTAGTTTCCAATAATCTCTTAGCTTCATCAAAATTTAATGTTCTTTTCTCATTATTATAAGCATTCACATTATTATTGACAAGAAGTTTTAACTATAGTGTTCTTGGCACCATTTAGAAACTCTTATTTTTCTGTCTTAAATAAACGCGCCTCAATGATCATGGTCCTTTTGTCATAAAAGCCATTTATTTATTTTTTAGTAATTAGTTGACAGATAAAATTTATGTCTGCACTTTTTTTTAGATATTTTATAAAATTTTATTGTAAAAATATTTAAAATATGATCATATACAGAAATTATGAAATACATATTGGTATAACACAACCCGACATTAGCAGTACTGTGGTGAAGCTCAAACAAACACATCATCTCCTGTTGTCTCTTTATCACGTCAAGTAACGAGGCTGTTGAAGGGTGATGCTGGCAACCTGTATGACATAAGGGAGCTGATTGACTTAATGCAAGTTTATGAATGAAAACATTGTGAGAGAAAACGAGTAAATAAGGAGAGGCAGACAACCCTAGTGTTATGGTTTAAGTCGTTGGGGAGGAAGGAAGGTTAGATTTTAGAAGGCTTATATGGATTACCGGAAGAATTTCCACTCTAGTTTATTTAATTTAGTTTAACAATCCTAATGTTATTTGGGAGTTAGGTTAGCGTTGGGATGGTTAATCTTCAGGTCCATCCCCAACATTCGAATAGATTTTAAAAGAAAATTGGGTAAATGTTTCTTGTAGCTCCGTTCACTTGTAGTATATTTTTCTAGTATATTTGTGTGTACTGAGACCGAATATGACCTTCCTTTTTGGCGGAAATTAGCCGGGTTTTTTTTTTAGTGATTTTTTTTCGTTTGTCGTTTTCCGAGAAAAAAAGTGCCTAAGCGACTAACAAATACACAATAAAACACTAGAAAAACAATAACCAAACCTGACCTAACCTAACCTAACTTAACTGACTCACCATATGATGGAATCGCCAATTTCTTACCTTATTGGCCTGGTTCTTGTTCGTCGTTGCATTCTGGGATTCTTACCCAACGCCACATATGTTGGTCTTTGCGATATTTACATTCCGTCTTGCTCTTAGTACACTTTACTGAGGTTGGAAGAACACCTTGCGATCGAAAAAATGCTATAGTTTCTTCGTTTTTTTTCCAAAAACTCGCAATCAGCTCCATATACTTTTAGTGACATCCATCGCAGACTTCCATGGTCGGAACTGAACTTGAATTTCAAAATATGAGAGACCCAAAAGAATACTCGAATTTGATTTGCCCAAAAATACCGCGAATTAAACCCAAAAACATTTTAATTGGTTTCAAAATAAAAAAGGCTTTTGATTGGCCGCGTGACGTGTACAGCAACGCATGCGCAGGATGATTTATGAAGGGGACGCAGGAGACACGCAGTGTTGGAGGAGAGGCAGACGATAATGGCGGGATGTTAATGGAAGAAAATAGAAAAAATTTTGAAAAAGCTGTCTCCGTTATTATGCATTTCTGCCGGTAATGTAATAGATGAAAATTATCTTATAATTAGACGTCTTATTCGAATATGATAATAGATTAGCGGTAGGAATGAACGGAGCTACAAGAAAATAATTCCGAAAATTGCAGATAATGATGAGGAATTGTAAGTTTGTTGTTAATGTTCATTGATTGTGGATGAGGGTTGTGGCTTTCTTTATTTACTTGACAAAGAGGAGTCGGTGTATTCTATATATTAATCGGAAGTTTTCTGTATAATTTAACTATAAATGCATGGTATTATTTTACTTTCGGACATAGCGCCCCCCAATGTTATGAACAACCGAAACATTTAGATCTCGCTATTCTGAGCATTTTGAACCCCGTATATACTTGGCGGAAATGGAAAATAGTGACACAATTTAATTTAATTGATTTTAAGTAGTTTTCAGTCTTCGTCTGTGAGGAGATGTTACCTGCTCATCATGCATGCGCAATGTTGACTGACGTCATCCAGTTGTGACCAATGAGGGTATAGATACCATCACGCGAATTTTTTTTCAACCACTCACATTTGATTTTTTCAAAGGAAGTAGCCTGGGTAATTTCATTGATGTCTCACAATGGCCGTTAAGGAGGTTGGTTGTCATTTGTACTCCTACGATTATTTTAAGTTTATTGTCGAGTTTTACGAGAAAGACGATCATTCTATCCAATTCTTTCGTATCCCTGGTCCTTACACTGCAAACTAAGGTATTGTACTTTCAGACATGGTGTGCCCCAAAGCTTTTAACTACTGAAACATTAAGGTAAGTTTAAGCTAGGCCTACTGGGGGTCCTGGAGCGGAGCCCCCGGCTAGGAATTAGGTTTTGTTAGGTTAGATACTCCTTTTCTTCCCCCACCCAAAAACTCTGATTTCCCAGGCTCTCCCCCCATTATTGTTGGGGGGGAGTGGGCAAAAACTTGTCATTTTTGCCAAAAATGAAGGTCAGATTCGTTTAAAACACACCAAAATAGACTGGAAAAACATATTGTTTTCATAATATTGTTACTGGTAAGGTTTTTAATTTTGAACACTATAACAGCTCTTGGTGATGTATCCTTTGTTTACATCCGAGACACTTCCAAAAATTTACCAGCTACTATTACATTTTAATATCATTTGTTGGTGATAAAATGGACCAACTTAACTTCCTAATCTAGGTTAGTTAAGGTAACTTTCTTGTCTCAAGTAACCTACAAAGAAGAAGGGATTTGTAATGCCTCATTTAATTTTTTTTGTGGGCCTTCACATGAGGCCAGAAAGCATTTATCTTCTTTGGATCAATTTTCTCAAGTTGCTGGTTAAGGCGCACAATCGTCACAAAGTATTAACTTATGTTGTTAGAATTTTTAGTTATAAATAATGGACTTGCGTATGCCATACCGTATCCAGTCAGTGTAATTTCTGGCTTATGAGATATGGACAAATGCTTCCCTTTGAATAAGTCCTTAATGAAGGAACATGAGGGGTCAAGTTGTCTCTGGCCGTGTTTCCTCTCATACCACCTAACTGTTAGGATACATGTGGGATGGTTGGTTGGTTAGTTCAAGTTATCTGCCATTTACCTTAAACAAATATGGTATCGTAGTTTTCTTTTGTTTCAAATTTCTTTAAAGATTAGAAAAAATTATGTACTGTAAGAACTACGAATTTCCTCAATAACTTGCAAAATAATTTTTAAGTGCCATAATTGTTACCGCTACACTTAACTACTGTACTACAGTACTACATTGGGAACTAAGGTGATGTCAGCGTTGACTTACAGTTAGTCTCCTTAATCTGTACTAAAACTAATTTCTCTTTTTCCTCTCGGCAGTTATTGTCCTCGCTGTGTAAAACTTATATACTGAAAATTATAAATACTTTGCCCGGTACTCAGGAAGTAAGATGGCTGGTGTTAAAGATATACCACGGACAGGGGTAAGTGCTAATTTTAATTTTGCCACTTTATTACTTATTATTTTTATTAAGATTCTGATAGAACTTTATTGGCCAACAACTGTATCTCTACTGCAACTCATAACTAATTATTTGTTGCTCTAGCTAGTATTTATAATGGTGATTTTATCGGTGTTATCCTCATTTTGCAGATGTCAAAGATGGAAGAAGAATTTGAGAACCGGGCGTGGGATGATGCCCCTGACGCTGAACATCTGGTAAGATACTGTACATTGTCATACAGTACAATACTGTACTCCCTCACATACGTACTATACTAACTTTGGGCTAGTGTGGCAGGCTAGTAGCTGATAAGTGGTTAAGAGGATAAAATAGAAATAGTTAAAATTTATAACTGTATTTATTATAGACTGGGTAAATTAACTTTGTTCAGTACTGTACTGGTTATTGTCATTTTTATTCAGCACTTGACCACACATGTTCCCCAGCAGGGAAGGTTACAGATACTGTATGTATATGTGTTGGAATGAATTACTAATGTTCACACTTTTATTGGCAGGAAGAGGATGAAAGCATGAGCTCAGCTGATGTACAAGCCAACTGCCTGAGACAATTCTCTAGCACTGACTTCATCATGGAGCCAGGCATCTTTTCTACACTAAAAAGGTCAGCTTAAAAACATTAATTTAGTACTGTATGTTGCATCACGGTGCCAGCCCAGAGGTGTACTGACCTACTACCCTCTGGTGTTTAAATAACATAATTTTGAGGCAGCAGACAGTCTATATAATTGCTTGAGTTGAAAAAAGGAGTTGAATTACACAACCTAGAATGATTATCCACCATAAAGTGTCATTATCTATTGTAGATTATTGTTATCAAACTGTAATTATCACTTACAACCCCTGTTGACAGATGAGTCTGCAGCCTTAATTATATTGTCATCCCTGCAGATACTTCCAGGCAGGTGGGAATCCTGAACAAGTCATTGAAATGTTGTCAGAGAACTACCAGGCTGTGGCTCAGATGGCCAACCTCATGGCTGAGTGGCTCATCTTAGCAGGTGTGTTGCCCTGTGTGTGTTTAACAGATAATATTCTTTACAACTGAAGATGTAAGAATAAACCTACAGTAACAGTTTAATAGAAGCTTAAACACCAAAATAAAAATGCAAATTAGCATCAAACATACAACTTACTTGAGTGCATTCACTTAGCAACTTTTAGGAAATAAAAGCACATTTGTGTAGTCACCATTGATGGTGTTACATCAACACATGAACAAATGCAGGAGTCAGTGACCCATGAACCACCCCAGCACTGGTCAACTACATCACCACATGACAGTTGGTGTGGTGGTGATGTGTGGTTTATGGTTCTATCATTTATGGCTCTTTGGGTTAACACCTTTCAATTTTTCCAAATTTACTATTACTGATTTTAGAATTTATGTCCATATTAGTACAGTACAGTACTGTGTAGATAAAGAAGACAGCTTCTTTTCAATAATATTGATTCAGGTGAAGAACAAACTTATGATTTTTCATGATCATAATTGTTGGCTTAAAATGTTAACAATGTAAGTTATATGGTGTTATTTCTGACCCTCTGCTCACAGGTGCCAGCATTAATGATGTACAAGCTATGGTCGAAAACCACCTCAAGCAGATGATCCTCAAGACATTTGACCCAAAGAAGGCAGACACGATCTTCACGGAGGAGGGAGACGTAAGTATCCTAATAGAGGTCTGTCTTTATCTCCTGGTGTGGTCTGAGGCTCACTTGTTAGGCTACATGCACAATACACAAAGACTCTTTGGCTACAAGATCTTCCATACTTGTTCATCCAACATTTAACAGGGTGTTGAGACTCCGCTTCAAAACATTCCACAGCAAAAGTTCTTCTGTTCATTCTACCAGATGTATAAGAAATATCTTGTATGTGTCTCAGGTGCCAGTCATACATCAGGTTATAGTCATGGCTAAGGTCACAGCATTTCTAATTATAATGTAGTGGTGATGGTTTATACACTAATGAAATACTTATGACATAAAATGACCGTTCTCTCTTCCAGGCACCAGCGTGGTTGACTGAGCTGATCGAGCACAGCACCTGGCGTTCTGTCGTCTACCAGCTGGCTGAGGAGTTCCCGGAATGTCTCATGCTTAATTTTACTATTAAGGTAAAGTAAAGTGAATGATCTTTTGATATATAAGCCTGAGGTAACCAGTACACAGATAAGCCTTGTGTCCAAGTGTGATGTTTAAACAAGGTCCTGTATAATTTCAAGACTGGAAAGTAGTAAAAGGTTAATAGGATATCAGTTAGTATTGCCCCCCTCCCTTTTGCTTACCTAGTTAATTATGAGGTAGTTAGTTACATAGTGTTCTCATAGACACACTATCTTACTCATCAATGTTATATATTTACAGTTGATCTCAGATGCCGGGTTCCAAGGAGAAATCACGAGCATCTCGACAGCAGCGCAACAAATTGAGGTTTTCTCAAGAATTTTGAAGACTTCTACATCCAACTTCCTTCAGTCACCAGAGGACTCAAGACACAGGGCCGTAGTTGAGTTTGCTGTAAGTTGCACATTATTGATTATCAGGGACAGTTATGTAATATTATATCTATGAGAACTACGGTTAGGCTGAGAATGACCTGGGAAGAGGTTGTGAGAGATGACCTCAGAGATAAGAGTCTGATGAGTGTTGGCAGCACCTGTGATCAAGTTTGGGGATGTGTGTTTGATGTTAGTGCAGTACCTGGTAGTTATGGGGTTGAATCAGTCTTAAAAGCTAAAATTTTGTGGTGAGGCTATTCCATTCTCTCAGACACTAAAATTGTAAACACCTGAAGAATCTCCACCTCAGCTTATTTCACCTAAAGATTAACCACCCTAATGCTTACCGAACCTCATCCACTAAATAATGTTAGGATGGTTAAACTTTAGGTTAAATAAGTTGGGGTGGAGATTCTTTGGGTGATCCTAAATTGTCCTTATCTTGGGGGTCAGACACTTTTATCATGTGGACTAATACATCAAATAATGGACGTGGTCTTCACTGCTGGCATTTATCCTTTAACTGCTGTAAAATGTGTCCAGTAGAGATTGCCTCTTTCTTTAACAAAACCCAATCATAAACATTTGGCTTATCCTTGTCACTTTACACAGTCAAACATCGCCCAGATTTTATCCTGACTTTAGATTGTGTTACAGAAAATGGTGTGTCATGGTCAGCACACATACATCTATGCTCAGGTGATGCTGCAGATACTCTCACAGGAAACAAAAGGCGGCAACAATATTCGTCGCTTACAACAGGAAATCACCAAATATGCCATCAACAAGTGGGTCTCTTCTCACTTCTTTGTTCTCATCAACTAGTATTAACAGTCTCATAGTTGTAAAGTTCTGGAAGTTGTAAATGATATGAACATGTAAAGGTAAATTCATGAAGAAGAAAGAGAGATAGTTAATGTTTCGTGTTTTTATTGTCTCGGTCATTTGAGGAGTTATATTTTATTGCATGAGTGAACATGTAATTTTGATCCTAAACTACAGTACTGTGAGTCAATATTCATGTTATTCCTTTCTGTTTGGTCAGTGGCCTTAATGTTACACCGATCCAGCTGGCCCTGAACGGTGCCATGGCCCACCCACGAGCAGCCCAGGCCCTGGCGCCCATGCTTGCCCGCAACGCTCTTAATCCGGCTGACATGACTGTGTTGTTTAAGCTATACAGTGCAACAGACCCACCCCCAGTGGACCTTATACGTATCCCACAGTTGTTAGGTGAGTAAGGACTTGTAGACCCATCATAGGGTATTCTGTGTAAGTGATATGAAGCAGATAGAATGGTGATGGATAAAGGTTGATCATATGGGGTGTAGAGAAGAGCTTGGGCGTATCTGAATATCTCAACTCAGCTCAATTTTCAGTCACACTGCATGTATTCTGCCCTTGTATTCTTATTGTGAGTGTACCATGCTTGAGGTGTACCCACATTGCCTGACATCATTATCTGAGAGAGGAACCTTGGGGCTATGGTCTGATGTAGAAAATGGGAAATTGAGTAACACTGTGATACTATGTGCCCTTAATATTCAAAACACCTCTTATATGGAGAGTCATTAAAATTGTTATGATCAATGGAGTCACTGGATGTTCTAGTCACTTTACCCCTTTCACTGCCACACACACATATTACTCATGTTGTGGAATGTCCTCATAATATTCACTGTTCTTCCTTATATACCAGTATAGGGAACCTTTTTACTATGATACAGCTCCTATTTTTTTACTTAAATAATTTGAGTGGAGAAAGTTTGAGTAATATTAGAGGAAAGTAAAAAAGCATTTTTAATATTTTGTTTTCATTTCACACTTGTGTTACAAGATTAAAAAAAAAAGTTATTATTTCATCCTACTTTTTCAACATACTGTACTGTGCTTAGTCCATCAGTGTACCATAATATTTTGTATACCATTCAGAAATAAAAGTTTGCTCTTGACTGAACCATTTTATACTGGAATAGGAAACTGGCTTCAAGAACACGAGGGAAGACTATTACATGTTTACTGTACGTCGGGTATTTCATTCATATCTTCTCCTCTCGTGTGACAGAGCTGCTGATAGACGCCTTGTTCAAACCTGGGAGTAAAGTGAACCAGGAACACAAGGCCAAGTACTTCTACCTCCTGGGCTACAGTGCGAGTGTTTACGAGACCCCGAAGAAAGGCAACAGACCCAGACAGGTGATGTACACTTGGTAAAAAAAACTACTGTTACGATTCCTGCGCAAAACAAACTGACACTACAAACGAAGTGTTTCAAAAAGGCTCCTTAGGCATTCCTCGCATTGGTAGCCCTGCGCATTTACGGGTTCGGCCACACATGCTCGAAACAAGTGATCGGCACTCTGAAATGGGTCAGAGTTAGTGCTGCCGCACTAACACAATTTGAAACTTGATCAGAACTCTATGCTTCATTTCTCCATGTCGAGTACACATTGTGAGCGGTGTTGTAGCAGTCTAATATTGTGATTTATGTAATTAGTGCTACCAACATTTCCTGATATCTTACATAAAGAATGTGTATGTTATATGGACTGTGGAGCTATTCACATGTTTCAGAACAACATGGTATATTTTCCAATACAAATAAAGAATGACATAATGTGGCATTAGCCCAAAGTGAAGTATTAATACAAATACAGAATCGAAATTCGGTTGCAAAATAATCTTATACCTTTACTATGTCCACTAATTCTGCCAAACATATAATGCATTCCTATATGGCAATTCATCCACTTCCATGGTTACTGTAGTCCACGGTGTGTGGAACATTTAATATAACATGCAGTTTAACTTGTCTAGATACTGTATACTGTACTGACATTATCCAGTCATATTGTAACAAAGTAATTCAATATTGTCAATGAAATAGCTAATTTCGGCCTACCAAATTAAGTACAAAATGTCTCGCATTCAGGCCTACCAACCCTCGCGAGACAATGAGAATGTTCAGTTGGAAAATCATTGGACCCCACCTGTACGGTAGTTTTTTACCGAGTGTACTTGTTTCACTGTTTTAGGGTGTCATGCTCGGCCTAACCATAGCTCTCCTTGATATAATTTTACATAACTAATGAATAAACCTCACCATTTGTCCTTTCAGAAATAAAAATAAAAGGTTGAAGATGTTGACTATTATAGAAATTATATTAACAAAAAAGAAAGATGACACTTTAGGAGGACTACTTAATCTCTCTCTTATTTTAGGTGAACCGGGATGACCTGAAGCCCACACAGCAGGCCATCGAGAAAGTCCATAATATTTGCCAGGGAGGAAAATCAGCCATGGAACTTATCGCTGAAATTAACACTTTATATCAATGTATCAGGTAATCTGTAATGAAATGTGTCAGTTGTTTTAAGTATTGGATGTTATATAATGTAGGTTATATTGTACAGCACTTAAAACTGGAGGCTCACAGTGGTGTGTATCTCAATGAGCTAAATATTTGAGGCGGTATCATAGTCTTATAGGGATGAAATCATCGTAGATATTTTATTTACAAAGTCATGAACTACATCAGCCAACACCACCACTACTTGTGTTTATATAGACTGTTGTGGGTGTTCAAATGGACATTGTAATCATCAGGTCTTTGGTCATGTCTGTACTGTACCTCCAGCCTTCATTACTATGCTGGTAGAATGTTAAGCAGGTGTGTATTATGTATCAAGGAATATATTTGAATGCTGTCTATTTAAAACCGGGATAAAAATAAATATATATCCTGCCATTGTATAACACTTAGGTATGGTAGACAAGGAATAGCTCAAGATGGTAACTTTATCCTGTTTGTGGGTGAGAAGGTTGACTTGATTTTGGTCATTATTATACACACGTCTTCCAAGATACATAAATATAATGGAAAAAATGTATTTACAGGTTCCCCGTTGTGAGTGTCGGTCTGGTCCGATGGATAGAGTGTGTGGTGAAGGAACCGAGTTACTTCAAGTTGTGCACAGAGTCGACACCCACACACTTGGCGCTGCTGGATGAGGTGGTGTCTATCCATCCTCTCCTCCACAGCAGAGTCCTCAGTCTTCTCATAGAACTTTTTGAGTCAGAGTTTCAGGACCTGGAAATTCTTGTGCAGGTAAATCTGACATTTTTTAAAGACTTAATAATATTGTGTTATTATTATCATCATTTTAGGTGTGATGTGATTGAGAGAGAGGAAATTATTCAGAATTAAGAGAGGAGCTGGGTATTGAGAGCATTGGTGAGCTTTTGTGAAGTGGTCAACTAAGATGGTTCAAGCATGTGTACAGAATGGAGATCATTTGGTTCAAGAGATGCATGAACTTGAAGGTGGAGGGGAAGAGAGCTATGGTTAGACTAAGGACATGGGGGAAAGGCTGTAAGAAATGACCTCAGAGATATGAATCTGACGAGAGACTGACCCACTCAAGCGTGGAAAATGAGTTAAATACTGTAAAATGATGGTGATAATGATGCTCACTTGTTCATGTAGTGTGGACAGTGAATTTTTGCACAAAATTAAAAATAGTAGAATTGTAATTTTCCTCAACTCCCTGTAGCTGGAGCTGCGGAAGATGTTGCTGGACCGGATGGTGAACTTACTGAGTCGTGGCTGTGTCCTGCCAGTCATGAAGTACATCAAGAGTTGTTCCACCAAGGGCGACACCGATATATCTCTCATTCGCTATTTTGTGCGGGAGGTAAACACTTGTGGCCGTCTCTGTAGTGACTAGTACAGTAGTCTGCCTTGTGTGATGATATTTGTTTTAGAGTGAATTGGTTGTGCACAGTTAGTTTGGATTACCGAAATACTGTTGAGATATGATACAGAGTGAGTACAGTACACAATGTGTAGGTCATCTGTAGATGGTAATGTACACAATGTGTTTATTCATGCCATGTTTTCACTGGATTATTTTTAATTTGTTCACATTTTGGGACATGATGGAGACAATTAAGTTCCTTTTTAAAATATTACATTGAATTTTGAGCTTTGTTAGTTTGTCAATTGATGAATAATGTTCTGAATGGCTGTAGGAGTTTCTTTCTGACATTTGAGATGCTGACGAGTAGGGGTGGTGATGGGTTTAGAGTTGGGGGAAGGTTAGCAAAAGAGAGGGAGGACTTAGATTTATAGCATTTCACCACACTGTCAATTTAGGAGAACCCTGCAAATCAAATAGGACCGACTGATGAAGTTCCATAGAATCTTGGCCCAAGATAATATCAGTACAGAGGTCAGGAAAAGAGAGTTTGGACTGATGGTAACTATTGTCAAGAAAAGACAAATCTATAACACAGTGGCCTTGACGGCTTAAATGAAGTTGTTAAATATACGGAACTAATGATGCCACCGAGCAAGTGTGGTGTCCTCTTGTCCATCAAACCCTTCAGGGCATTGAAACATCTCCATTCTGGGACAATAGCTTTCCTGAATAAATTGAAGTGCTTCAGGGTAAATAGAGATAGGCCTGGTTTTGAGACTTTTTTCCAGCATAGGACTTAAGCATACAGATCCATAACAAAGAAAAATAATTAGGCACTTTAGGCCTCACCACAAGATACGACTTAGTCTTGTAATTGTGTTATACTAAGATGATTAAGAACAAATTGTAATTGAAGGAGTTGGGGCTGTGGTGCCCAGATAGTTTTTGTTAAGGTTGCATGTACAGGAGGTATATTAACTAATGAATTATTTTATTGTACAGTACAGGGTATGTCTTAATGTATTTATTTGGTAACAGGTGCTAGAGATTGTGGCACCACCATACACAGTGGAGTTCGTTCAGCTGTTCCTGCCACTGGTAGAGAACGAGGACATCACAGGCTCTATGAACACTGACAGTGACCTGGTGACTGAATTTATAGGTAAGTTGTGGGGGAAGATAGATACAGTGCACAGTTGTCAGCGACGGAGACCAGTTGACATAAAGCATCAATAATAACTGGCTGATCGTAAATAAATAATGAGGAAGAAGAGAAAATAAGGACTGTACTACTTTTATTGTACAGGTTCATAGATGTAGTTATTTCACAGCAGCTCCTCACCACACACAGTCCCCGCCACCACCCTGGAGTTACATGATGTACACAAACTTCTTCCTGGTTTCTAATGTTGCATGGTTGGTGTACTGTATAAAGAACACACTATATTTCTGGATTGATAGGAGAGGCTCTCTAGTACTGTACACATTTTACAGGCAGTTTCAACACTTGTATGATTTACCTATGATTACTTACTGGCTACTCTCCCAAGCTGCATGACCTTTTGTTAGACTGGTGCACATGTGGATAGAAGTGTGTAGGTATTGGTAGTAGCATTCCATTATTACTTAAAATTTAACAATGTCTTTTTTTTTCCAGCTCACTGCAAGACCAACTATTATGTGGTGTAAAAGGAATGAAATACTGAGGTGAAGATCCTCACAGAAAATGGCATTAATATGGATAACAGTGGAACCTGGAGTTGGAGGTGTTTTAGTCTTCAACAAGCGTATCAGATGAGAAACTGTACCAAAACTCTTGTGCTAACTGGTCCCTTGGTGTGTGTGTGTGTGGGGGTGACCTCAACACTGCAGTAATATCCAGCAGAGTCACCCTGTTGGTTGGTGACTGTGTGTGACACAAGATTACCTTTTATAGAATCCCCAGTACAGTACAGACCAACAACAGTATTACTATACTGTGTTCTATCAAGTCGCTCAATCTGGTGAGCAGTTGTTGGTGGTCACTCTGTCATCTCCTGATAGAAGATTGTAAGGCAGTTCCAGTTGCTCTCTCTTTTTAAAGCAAACTGTGTGTGTGTGTTCAGATGGGGAACCTTCGAGTACCAGGGATCATCTTCGACAGGTAAGCAGAATTTTTATTGTGTTGATGAACAGGGTATGGTTGCTGTGTCTCTCTCTGTAGAGATGAAGCAGACTTTACCCTTTCAGGAGTCATGAGAGTGTAAGAGTACAGTACATGTGAGCTCATCAATTATTTACATTAAATGGCCTGTGGAGAGATGACAAGGCCCTAAAAGCAAGTCATAAACTCCTCTGTTCACTTTTCCTCTACCTGAAGTTCAAAAATATAATTGCAAGGTAAAATGAAGTGAGAAATATCATGCATGTCATATACTGAAGATCACTATCACCGCATTACTAGTGAGACATTGAAACATCGCCAGTGGTGTCACACAGTATAGTATAAAATTAAATTGGTCTGTTTCTACATTGTCATGAAAATTATTAATGGAAAAATATATGTATTTATGTGCAATAGTGTTTTTTTGAAGACATGTCTTATGTTTAAATCATTGTAGTTATCACCTAATTGGCCTGCACCCTAATATTTGAGTTATGCTCTGCCACCCAACACCATTTACTTTAATCAACCAATGAATGAGGGAGTGATAGAAACATTCAAGAGATATAATGTGAGGTAGATATTACCCCGGTTACTAAAGCTTCTGGTGGCACCTGTACTGCTCTTCTATAATCTCACCTAACACCTGATTCGCCTCGTATAAAACAACGTTATGTATTAGTGAGCAGAGTACAGTATACTCATTTAGAATGTTCATTTAATAAAATTCACAGTATGTATTTCCTTTATTGAAATACTATTAGTGTATGCATGAAAACTTAATACAGTACAGTACAATACATAGCCACTGTCACAAGGGACTTCTGCTGTGACTGGGAATGTAACTTTTACTATGGAAACCTTTGTTTAACCCAATTTTGCTTCTATGGGAATAAACAAGGCAACATATGCCTGCTACTCATTGCTATTTTTTATGAGTACAGTGCAGTACTTGGGCATTAGCTGATCAGCAAGAGAAACAAAATGTTGCCATATGTGAGCCTTATATTTTCTCCTCGGTATCTGTGGAGAACATAGGTGGAAGCTTTATTGTTTTGTGTGTTATTTGAGCCAAGTATGACAACCTTACATGGTTACCACTGATACAGTACTGTGCTGGGTTCTGATCTCTCATGTATCAGTTTGAATCTGAAGTGAATTAGAAGTTGATACACAGTTTATGTTAGATGATTAATGATTGCCTGTGTGTGGCTCTATGGTCAGGCTGTACTATATTGTATTGACCTATACTGCACTGTGAACTCCGGGAAACAGCACATATTGGTAAGAAAGGTAAAAATACATATTTGTTACTACACGTATTGTTAAAAAATTAGTTTTTAATGTGTATTCTTTTATAAATGATATGGAATGAAAAACTGTTTGTTCAGTAACTTTGGCTGTAATTATGATAGAATGCAATACAATAAATACCCTGTCATTATACTGTACCGATATGTATAGTTATTTACTGATATGTTTATATAGTTATATTTTGTAATACAGGTACTATATTATATACATTTTATGTATTCTAAATGTTAGAATATAAAGTTAATTGTAGCAAGAATATTAACTTAAAGTATTCAATATATAATATTTTATTGAGTACTACAGTAAAAGACGATGTGACACATTGCACGGCTTAACATGTGCCTGAGAGGAAGCTTAACCCTTTTGCTGGCCACTCATGCGGTCGAAATCTTACCCATAAACCGGCCAAGAACGCTGTCTGCATCATCCAAAAAGCATTGAATTTTCATTTACCATTTATGGGTAAAATTATGCCCTTTTTTTTTTTTTTTTTTTGAGTTAAAAAGATAAACGATCTGACTGAGCGATAAAAGAAGAAAATACTTATTACGTATAAATGATAAGAGATGGCTAAAAATGAGTGTAGAAAGATAATATCTTGCTTGCCGGATCCGTGCAAGTGGTCTGGTCAGTTTGAGCGCTCAGGGTCCTAGGAGACATCTCGCTCCTCACGGCCCACATAGTGAAGCAAATATTATCAGCCAGCGAAAGGGTTAATGGAGCACTGCCGGAATACTTTAGCAAGATTTCTTATTATAATGTTTTCAATAATATTTATTAACCTGGATGAGAAAGAAATGTATGGATGAGTGTACTGTAGAGAGCTAAGTATATTTTGCATTTTTTTGTATGTACAGTATATAAATCCATTTTTGTATTTGTGATTTAATATTCCTTTATCTAAACACCACAGGAATTGGAGGTTAAGAATGCTTTAGTGTTTATGTGATACTGCTTCTACGTGTTGAGAAGGCGGCCATGACACCTCACGGAAAGGTGGCCATACCAAGACGCCTCTCGTCATCTTGCCACGTAATGGTTGTTTGGTACTCTTAACAGGTTTGATTTTGACATATCCGCACTTAATGTACTGTACTGTACAGGATATTTAGAAAAAATAATTTATACGGTTTTAAAATCAACAATGACAAGAAGGTATAAGGTTTATTTTAATATTTACAAATATTTTATAATTGTCAAAATAGGTATTTTACTGATGCCCGTCTTTGTTTTAAAGACCAAATTAAACTTTTTCAATATTGGTTGTTTACATAAAGTTAAATTACAGACATAAATAACCTAATTTTTTGTGTATAATTAATTTTAAATATAAAATGCCCTTAGTTTTGCATCACTGCAAAGTAAAAGTAATACCGTAATGCATTTGCTCATAACATGTCTGAATTTTAACACTAGTGTGTCTACATTGTGTTCATGATTATGATCTGTTCACTCAAACTTTCCAACTGAGGCCTAGGATCAGTTTGTAGCAAGGCAGCCATTGGTTGGTGGACAGACAAGCAAAGAGTCACTACAGTTCTTTAGTATTTAATTTATTGTACAGTATTTATATTATGATAATTTAAGGATCTATTTTGACCTCTGATAATTTCCACACTTGGGGAAGCAAAAATTTGCTGTTTTACAAGTTAATTTTTACTTTCCAAGTGGAGAAATTATCAGATAACACAGATCCCCCAAAATATCAGAATATAAATACTGTATGATAAATTAAATACTCTGCACTATAAATTTTTACTGACTTCACTTGTCCATCCACCAACCAATGGCTGCCTTGATACAAACTGGCCCTTGATCGAGTGAACAGACTACAGTACTGTATAGTTACAATGTGAACAACCAATATTATACTGTACTTGGTGTGTCTGACACCATAACATTAAATATCATACTTTATCCAATCACATGTGAGTGTCTGATTGAGGTACTGTTACCAAAGTACAGTATGGTACAGTACTGTTAGGTCATGATTTGCCCACTGTAACTTGCATCACTGTCATAATAACACAAAATATTAAAATTTAATTATTTGCTTGACTTCATTGACAATTTGAGTGAATCAAAATTTCCTATTTACAAATAAAACTAAGAAGATATTGTATAAATAGATTAATAAATTAAAAATTATAAAAGCTAATATTAGAAATAAATAATTATTGTACATGGTGTTGTACGATCAATAAATCACAACACTTTCATGAGAGCGATCATAAAATGACAGCTATCAAAATCCCTCTTGCACAGTATACTGTATAGTTGGTACATTGTTTCAGAGTCAAGAAGCAGTAAATTGGCCGATTTCTCGCTTAACTGTCGCCTTAAGGTTGAAAACATAGTAAAAACTAAATTGCTTTTAGTCAATCTCACTCACCTTTTCAGATTTTGGGACACAGTGACCGGCAGCAATACTAAATACAGTCTGTTCCTCCGTCCTCTGACTAGTGTAACAGGATGCGTTGTGTTTCACGTCACTAACGTCCTGGTTATTTTTAGTCTTCTAATTTGACGAGACAGTTCAGTTTGCTTACACAGTTAACGATACCACCCCAGGAGGTACTGCAGGAGGGTAACGGTTTTCCTGACGGGGGGTTTTGGGGTTGGTTCAGCCTTCACCACGGGACAGTTGGTCTCGTACTCCAGAGCAAACCGGAGACTGCGTGTTGCCCCCACCAGTGTTCGCACTGACACTCTCTCTACGTCTTCAAAGCGATCTGTCAATCGAGAAACATCAAGTTAGTGACAGTGAAATATAAGAAGTAAGCTGTGTACAGTAGTCTTACACTTCAGATGGCAGTCAAATCAAATTGAGTGTTTTTAAATATTTGTAGTAGCGACCAATAAACTTGCTTTATAATGGTGATGTTATCATTATACAGTATTTAGTGTCTAATATACAGCATACATGGAAAACCGTTACTGTATCTTCAACCAAAAACAGACCCAGAAATCTAAAAATAATACATGTCATTTACATGCAGCTAACTGGCTCATTAACCAGTGGTGGGGGTTGCCCAAGTCTTAAAATGTATGTTTTAAAAGTAAGATTTAAAGAAGAGAGAACTCACCATCTTCATAATCATCATCATACAGTGCTTCATGCCGGAGTTGGGTGCCACAGACAGGGAGGTTCCTCACCAGCAGGTAAGAACCACCACACACTAGTTCCTCTATCACAAGTTTGTCATCATCCTCACTGCCATTGTTGTCTTCAGTAAATGTGCACTGCTGACAGCTGGTGCATCTACACTGCACTGCTGTCTACACACTGCTGTCTGCACTGCTGGTCTAGTGCACTGCTGTCTACACCCTGGTGCACTGCACAGTGCACTGCTGTCTGTACACCTGTATCTGGTGCACTGCTGTCTACACCAGTGCACTGCTGTCTCTGTATCTGGTGCACTGCTGTCTACACCTGTGTCACACCTGGTGCACTGCTGTCTAGTGCACCTACACCTGTGTCTACACTGTCCTGTGTGCACTGCTGTCTACTGTGCACTGCTGTCTACACCGTGTCTGGTGCAACCCACTGTCAGTGCACTGCTGTCTGTCTAGTGCACTGTGTGTCTAGTGCAACACCCTGGTGCACTGCTGTCTACAAGTGCACTGCCGCTGTGCCTCTGCCTCACACCGTGTCTGGTGCACTGCTGTCTACACCGTGTCTGGTGCACTGTCTACACCGTGTCTGGTGCACTGCTGTCTACACCGTGTCTGGTGCACTGCTGTCTACACCGTGTCTGCACTGCTGTCTACACCCGTGTCTGGTGCACTGCTGTCTACACACTGCTGTCTACACCCGTCTAGTGCACTGCTGTACACCTGCACTGTCTAGTGTCTGTGCACTGCTGTCTACACTAGTGCACTGATGTCTACACCCTGTCTACATCTGTGCACTGCTGTCTACACCTGTGTCTGTGCAGTGCTGTACACCTAGTGCACTGCTGTGCTGGTGTCTGTGTCTAGTGCACTGCTGTCTACACCTGTGTCTAGTGCACTGCTGTCTACACCTGTGTCTAGTGCACTGCTGTCTACATCTGTGTCTAGTGCACTGCTGTCTACACCTGTGTCTAGTGCACTGCTGTCTACACCTGTGTCTAGTGCACTGCTGTCTACATCTGTGTCTAGTGCACTGCTGTCTACACCTGTATCAGGTGCACTGCTGTCTACACCTGTGTCTAGTGCACTGCTGTCTACACCTGTATTTGGTGCACTGCTGTCTACACCTGTGTTTAGTGCACTGCTGTCTGCACCTGTGTCTAGTGCACTACTGTCTACACCTGTGTCTGATGATGCACTGTTGTCTTTAATAATACCGTCTTCACTATTGTCTGTTACACTGCTGCCTATGTCTGTATTAACATTTACAGTTATGTTTGTTTCACTGTTGTCTATAGTTATGGCTACTGTGCTGTCATCTACAGGTGCATCTGCTGAAGTATTAACAAATTCTGAGTCTCTTATATTAATGGCCTCAGTCAGTGTTGTGCCCTCAGATGGCCCACTGATGTCTGCATCCATAATCTCAGATCCAAAGCCGATGCCAGAGGTTACTATGATCTCAGGTGGGAGTAGAGGAGAAGAACTGGAGACTACATCTTCAGCTGCAGCACCTTTCTCCAGGATGAGCCACTGGATCCCATCACTGGCTGGGTTTTCTTCACTCCCTTGGGCAGTACCAATTGGGATTACTTGGCCAAAACCTTCTGATGGATCGCCTTTCATGGCGGTGGTTGATTCAGTGGTTCCCAGCAGTCCAGTTTCAAAATCATCATTGTTCTTTAAATCATCCATCTCCTCTACCACCTCACCTGCACCTTGACCTCCAGCTAATGTGTCTGTATCATCTACATTACTTGAATCATTGCTGGAGTGGTCGATGATGACCAGGTTGCCGTGAACCTGTACCCTCTCTGGGTCCACCAAAGTCAGTTCAACTTGAGCACTTCCACTGTTGGTGTCACTTACTGCACTTGTCATGCTCGAGTCAGTTGCTACACTTGAATCACTTGTACTGGAGTCGGTTGTTACACTTGAGTCACTTGTCATACTTGAGTCAGTTGCTACACCCAAGTCCGTTGTTAGACTTGAGTCACTTGTACTTGAGTCGGTTGTTACACGTGATTCACTAGTCATAATTGAGTCCGTTGTTACACGTGATTCACTTGTCATACTTGAGTCGGTTGTTACACTTGAGTCACTTGTCATACTTGTGTCGGTTGTTACACTTGGTACACTCGTCGTACTCGAGTCGGTTATTACACCAGAGTCATCTGTTGTATTTGAGGCACCTGTCACACCTGAGTCACCTGCATACAAATCAGTGCCAAGAGGGTCAGTATCTGGCCCAACTTGCACCACCTGATCAGTTGCTCCTGAACTTCCTCCCACCATTATAATCTCCCCAGATGTTCCTCCCAGGGCATCACTCCCATCACCCTCAGAGGCCACAAAATCCATGTCAGTCGGAGGTAGAGCGTCTTTTACAATATAATCGGCGAGGAACTGGTCTTTCATGATTTCTAACATTACCTCCACATTGCTCATGTCTTCGTCGTAATTCATACTGTCGTCCCTTATGGTCGTTTCCTTCAGTTCTAAAATATCTTTGTTGTTACTCAAAGTTGTTGTTGGCTCATTAGTTGTGGTTAAGACCTCTGGAGAAGCTGTTGGGTTCTCCTCAGTCGAAGTTGTTAGCATGTCATAAGAAGTTGTTAGATCTACTCCAGAAATTATTGGATTTTCCATTGATGTTGTTGGACGTTCAAAAGTTGTTATATCTTCTCTCAAGGTTGTTGGACTCTCATAAGAAGTTGTCAGGTCCTCTCCTGAAGTTGGTAGACCATCTTCAGTCGGTGTTGTTACACTCTCATCTGACAGAGTTAGGCCCTCATCAATAGTTGTTGGGCTTACATCATCAGAAGTTGTTCCCTCAACAAAAGCTGCTGAACCCTCATTAGAAGTTACTGGATTCTTGTCATTAGTTCCTTGGTCCTCAGAAGTCCCCAGACCTATGTCAGAGGTTGCTGTGACTTTAGATGTTTCTGAGCCTTCTGAAGTTGCTGAGCCACCATCATTAGATGTCAACTGACTGTCATTAGGTGAAGTACTCGGGTCCCTATCAGAATCTGTGACTGGTGCAACATCAAGAGGCAACACAACAGAACCATCTGGACTAATCACAGTTTCAACCCAAATTCCCTCAATTGTTATATTGTCTGTTACTGGTATTGCTGCCTCTGTTGTTACAGACAAAGAATTTGATGTATGTAAACCTCCCAGATCATTAGAACTGTCACTGAAAGGCTCCTCTGTTGTCTCAGGTTTTGTCACATTTCTTTCAATTCTTGCCTCGTCATTACTTGTGCCTCCTCCCACCACAACTTCATCTGCATCAGCAGTAAGACTGTCAACTGCAAATGGTGACACAAACCTATCTGAGTAAATGTTCAAATCTTGGCCATTATTTGTGGCACCAAGTCCCAGTTGCTGCTGCTGTAGTTGTTGGACAACACGTTGGATCTGGCTAATGACTGCCTCATTACCTTCAGAGTAAAGAATGGGAAGAACTCCGGGTCCACTTGCTGTTGCCATATTCTCAACCTCCTCACTGGTTTCTGCTGGACTTTGATCACTTGACTCAATCTTTACAATAGTGACATCTTGTTGTGTGTTGTTGGTGCTGTGTGTGTCAGTGAATGGTTGAAACAATGGAAGGGCAATACTACTATGACTTTCATTACTCGCAGCTTCTCTCTGGTCAGTCTCAGTCCGTACTTCCTCTACAGTTTTTGAAACAAGACTAATCACATCAGAGAATGCATCATTAGCTTGCTCTTTACCGGGGATGAACTGAATGGGCGAGCCTTGGTTGCCAATTTCACGAACTTCTGCAGCTCTCCTGACCCTCTGTGATTTCTTTATCTTGTTTGTCCTTTTCTTAACCAGCTCACTACGATAACGGTAGGAGGGGTTCTGATCAAAGTCTACATTGGTGAACTTACGATTACATGATTCATCCGTTTTTAGTGATCTGAAATTGTACCTAGTTTGTAAAATTATTCAAAATTATAACTTATGTGTTAATTATATTTCTCATGATCTACCATTTGTATGATCAGTATTATGTAAATATTCCAATATATACAGTTTCACATTGCATATTTAATTGTAAAATAATTTTAAAATACTTTTTTGTAAAGATTTACACTACTGTGTGTTAATGCTGTTCATTTGCAAATACACCCCCCTGTATAGTGGCCCAGGCCAATCATAGGACCACATAGTGCTGTGAAGGTGGTACTGTACTGTACTGTGTGGTGGGCAAGTCCTGTGTGTACTAGATTGTCAGTTCTTTACACAAAGTTATTGTTACATGCAAAACAAAATCTCTTTTGTTTTGAAAAGAAAATACTGTAAAATACTGTATGTAGCTAAGTGAAGAATTATAAGACCCAAAGCAAAAGAATTATGAAAAACTCTGTATTGGAGACAGACTTGTGTTTCTTAAGGTGTCAAGTTGTTGTTGTTGTTGTTATTTTACAAGGTAAATGCAACCTTCAAATAAATTAATAGGTGTAGTTGCAAGCAACAAAAAGACGTAAGAAAGAGGAGTAAAACAAATCTTCTCACCTGCCCAGTTTACTGAAGCAGATGTCATAGTTCAGATCATCTCTGAAGTCGCCGCCATAGTTCAGGGAGTGAACTTCTGATGATGCTTCCCTGTGGTACTGAAGACACCCGTGGGGAGCTGTGGTGGGTAATGATGATATACATACAGTACAGTATACACATCCACTATCTACATTTACACTAGGTTACACACACCCTTTGAACCTTTGGTGTGTGTGTGCAGATGATAGATAACATACAATAAAATGGTTGTACTTTTACACCTATTTATACACCCTTCAAACCTTTTGTATGAACATATACAGTACAGTACTGTACTAATATGAAATGTATAAAACATATTGAAGTTGGTTGTGGCTTCTTAATAAGTCTATCTTACTACAGTATAGCAATGATGTTAGAAGGTGTTTAAATGTTAGGAACATTATGGGATGGTATTGGAAAGTGTTAAAGGTGTCTGGGGGTTCTGTTAGAACACAATCTGTATACTGTATATACAAGATATTTAAAGAATAAAATATTGTTAACTATATTTATGATAGACTGTGTGTGGTGGAGGGAAAGATGGAGAATAACTTGTGAACTGATGTAAGTACCCAAACATTAAGAGAAAAGTCTGGGTGAAGTATAGCTCTGGAGAAATGTTGTAAGATGACTACTTTATAATATGCTACAGTACAGTATGAGAAAATACTTTTATTTCTTCAAGGTAGTAAGCTCGGGTGATTTACCAGCTTGTTTTTGGTTGAGCTGAGTGATGAGGACTCGCCACTGTCGCTGGGGGGACGCCTCGCGAGACAAACCATTGGAGTTGAGCACCACCCGTACCTCCACTTCCCCATCCTCCAGGTCCACGTACACTGCCACAACAAACACATTTTATATCTTTACTTCCTGACTTAATTTCTAGGTACAGTACAATAATATCAACAGTCTTTACCCTTCACCACCATCTCAGATATATAAAGGAGGATAACATAACACCAAGATGATTCCTAAATACAATAGAGTCGTGAATTGATGGGTTTAATTTAATCTAAGCTAACAAAACCCCACCCAACCTAATCATCAAAGTGGGATGGCAAAAATTATATAAATCGGCAGATCACGTGGGATGTCAACTAAAGGAGCACCGCCACCTTACTAAGAAACTTTTAATAGAATATTCCTAATATTGTAAAACTCGCTCCAAAAATTACCATTATGGAAGGGTCTGACGAATTTTAAAATGAGCAATGCGAGTTTGTTGTTTTGATAAGGTTGCAAAAATAAAAATTCTGTTGTGTTACATTGTCTCGCACCAAATTGTAAAAGGCCATTTTTGGAGCAAGTGTACATAAAGAATACAAATCCAGCCTTGGAAAAAAAGAGAAACAAATGTGATCTTAAAAAAAATTAAAATTGCCATACAATCGACAGAAATTCATTTGCTTTCGATAGCTGGAGACTATGACACTAAGTCCAGTAATTTACGAATTTTGCAACTCAAGAAACATACAAACCAAGTGTAATAGAGGTACAGTATAACCAAGAAATAACAAAAGGTTATGTCAAGTTGTTTTAATACTTAAACTAATTACTGTTATGTAATCCCATAGTCTCCAACCTTATTGCAAACAAGACAAGATCGCTTGACCAGCCCAGGATGCAGAGGACGAGGCAAGACCTACCGTGCTGCCGTGAGTTGTTGCCGCAAAGGGGAGGAGCCAGCTGGACCATCCGTCTCCCGCCGGTGGTGGGGCGAGAGATAGTCATGGCGTCCCCTACACACCGTCCATTTCGGGGTCCTGCCAGCTCCAGCGACTCAAAGTCTAGACGCGCCTGTTTTATCTGCCGGAGGAACACATTCTCAGTCAAAGTCAAATTGTATCACCAACACACCTGCTGGAGGACTCGCAGCTACACGAAGTCAGCCGGGTCAAGCTTGGTCACCAGTACACAACACAGACTATAACATGAAATTCAAATAAGAAATGTACAGTACTTATGATAAGCAACAGGCTTTGGAGTCACTGGTTAAGGCATCAATTAAAGCCTGTTAAATCACAAGACAGGCATTGGAGGTCAAACAAGGGCAATAGGCTTTATGAAAAGTCAGGACAGGTCACTGCCATTAGTGAGAGAAAAGAAAGTTCAATAAATGTGATGTATATGAAGAAATGGTACAGGATCAGATATAAGACACACATGAAGAATATACTCATAGTAAATAGATAAATGCAAGGAGGAGTCCTGTATAGGAACCAGAACAACAGTAGAAGTCACACAAGGTCAGGAGAGGTTAATGAAAATAAATTGTATAAATAGTATAAATATATAGGGAACACAAAAAACAAAAATGGAAAAAACCAAAAGAAGAAATTACTGGTCATGATGCCTCAACACAAGACAAATTATAAGGCTAGACTCACGTGTAGCATAGTTACTCACCTGGGGGAGGGGAAGAATAATTCTGGAGGAGGAAAAGGAAGAAAGATGCCTAGAGAGGACAAGGAGGACTCACTCTAGTGGTAGGGGAGACTCACCGACTTGTCAGACTTCTTGATGGTGAGAACACACTCCCCAGAGTCTCTGGACTTGTCGGGAAAGTCCTTGTTGACGAACCAAGTCCTGTTCTGAGTGATTGTCCCCCCACAAACTGCCGGCACTGTGGGAGTGAGAACGAGTTTAGTCCAGTACCTATGAGTACCATGAAGAATGACCTAAACAGATTCTTGTACCTACCGTTCACTTAAACAGACAACTACCATACTTGTATACCTAAACATATGTACGTGTGTTAATAATTTGAACATTACAATAAAAACCTCAATATCTACTCAAGTCCTAACTATTTCGGCTAAAACAAAACTGATGAATCCCAACAAAAGATTGAAACCACAGGCAATGTTTTTTCCCCTCATACAACTTTCTTAAACACAAACATTTATACGTCAGCCGGGCCATAGATCTACACATACCTTCCTGCTGCTGTACCTAAATAGGTTGTACTGTCCTTAATGCTTCAGTGACTTAAGATACCAATGAAGAAAAGACCTGAATATATATATATATATATATATATATATATATATATATATATATATATATATATATATATATATATATATACCCAAACAAATATCTACCAACTAGCCAAACTCATAACCTACCATCTACCAGAAGGAGTAGAGTACAGTATAGGCTACTCACAGACACAACAGACGCCCCCCGTTGCACACTTGCCCGAGGCAGCACCACCCACTTGTTTACAGGAACGGGAGTTGTAACAGGTGCCCACCGTCAGTAAGGAGTTGGTCGTCACGCACTCCACCGGGTTGACATGGGGAGGTGGCGGAAACAGTGAAAACCCAACTGTAATGATACATACAATAGGTGTTACTGTAATGATACATAGACAGTGTTTGTAATGATATAACATGCAATAATGATTATATTAATTACTATTATACAGTAACACATACAAAGATACAACCACGATAGCTTTATTCTAACAACAAGAGATGAACAAGTCGACTTTTGATCACCACTTAAACTGTAAACACAAGCTAAATTCATCTGTATATACATAAAACAGACAAAGTGAGTGATTATAAGCGATAGATAATTACAGAAGCAGACAGACAGAAAGTAGAGAGGGGGATAAACTACAGTATCCGGAAAACTCTGATCCAAATGTGTACAAAGGCATCACCTCCAGTCACCTGAGGTGGAGGGGGGGGGGGCCTTTACAAGCTTCCGTTAGTTTACTTGCCTTCATCCCTACTACCTCCCTCCCCCCTCCCTACCTCCCTAAATCCTTCCTTCCCTACCTACCTACAGCCTTCCTTTTCCACTGGTGTGTACTGTTACCATGGTCGTTGGTACGCTTTCCCTATCCATCCGTCTAATCTTTCTTTATTGTCGTCACCATATTCTCGTCCTCCTCTCCCTTATCTTACTACTACTGCTCCTTCTCCTCCTGGTGCTACTCCTCCTGTGTGGTGGTAGATGGAGGTTACAGAGTCACGGGGAGAGTGGTGCAAAGTGTAAAAAGTCATGGTGACAAGGTAGTGCTAAGACATGTTAGAAATATATACAATTATTTATATACTCTATTTACAGTGTACAAATCTCTCTGCCCCTTGTTTTCTCCTCTTCGTTTCTTTACCTCTTAAGTGTTCCTCCCTTCTCCTTTCTCTCTTTATTACCCCTCTTTATCTGGTACGGTTAGGATAGTGTTAAGTTTGGTTAGGTTAGATATAGGGTGATTAATCTTCAGGTGATCTAATCTTTTCCCCGACTTGGTATCACGCGTATGATTCACTTCAATTACACTACGAAGGCGGGTTGTTGTAGGCCAGAACCTACCCCGGGTATAACGATCATACTTTATATTATTTTACTGACAATAACATAAGAACATAAGGATTCTGCAATAGGCCGGTTGGCCTGTGCAGGGCAGCTCCTGTCGAGAGTTACTACCACTCTCTATCATCCATGAATCTATCTAGCCTCCTTTTGAAACTTTCCAGAGTTCCTGCACGAACTGCATCTAGTCACTGTGGAGTCTCGGTGAATTTTTACGCCATCTTCTCGCCTCAAAACTTATATGGGTCACCTGTACACGTTCCCATCTGTCAAACTTGTGGGAATTTAACGCAGAAACCACTGAGAGAATCTTGACTGTTGTGATTGGCTGTGACAAGTGGATGTGAGATGCTGACCAGCCAATAGGGAGGCGGAAGTAGGTCATACAGCCAGGGAAGTGAGTCAAGTGACACATCCCTAAGGTCAACCAACCAGAGGTCACCTAAAATAACTCAACCCATTTTCCCTGTCATTCAGTGTTTACGATTCTTTACTCCACACAGTCGTCGTCTGGGTTATTTTTCTTGCTGTCGTCAAGGAATTATTCTTCGTATCACCTGAATATTAGCCCCCAGTTTATTTCACCTGAAGATTAACCACCCTAAAGCTAATCTAACCTCATCCCTCCCAGATAGTTTAAGGGAGTGACACCAACGCCATCTGTTTGTGAAAAAACACACTAAAACTGTAAACAAGACCTAAAAACGGCCTCAGTCCAGACTAGCAAAGTCACAACTCCTGAGCCAAGGTTAATTAATGAGGGTAAAGTAAACAAGATAAACACGGCTGACCTGAGGGCACGAGGTCAGGTCAAACCAGATCACAGATGAATACAATTTCCTCTTCGCCTGAATTAATTAGTAACCTATTTAAAAACACGTTATATATCTATTTACGACAGTCAAGAGCATCACCTCAACCACCACTACAGGAGACTTCAACACGACCCTCAATAATTATCATTGTGTGTTCTTCCGCGTAGATCTGTGTTACCGCCTCTAACAGTGTTAAAGGTCCAGAGTATAAAGTTTCCTCTAACTAATGAAGTGAAAATATTTACGACTTAAGCTACCACACAATTGGGTTCTGAAAAGTTGCTATAGTAAATGTTCTTGATCACCTGAAGATTAGCTACCCAGCTTAATTATTTCACCTGGTGATTAAAAACCTTAACATAACACCCATGGGCAGCTTTAGGGTGTTTAATCATGGGTAAATAAGCTGGGAGCTACTCTTTACGTGATCTTAAACTGTCCACCCTAATTGATGCGAGAATGTATCTGCCTCACTCAACCTGCGACACAACCACAGCTTTGAAATACAATCAACAATTAATAGCTACGTTTGCTCTCTTGAATGCTAATTAGAGCAGAAAATTACCGTAAGAATCCCCAAGAATCAGCGGAGTTGTGGACAGGAACAGTCCGACCGACATCACTTCCATCTGTGGCAGTGCTCACCACCGCAGCTGTCGCCCTAAGGCTCACTCACCCGCGTAATGGAGTCTTGTCATCTACAACTAATAAATTACCGCCACCACCACCGTCACACAAGACTAATTTCCTTATACAGTACTTTCGTGTCCATCAAATATGTTCAAAACAAAATATATCAAATGTAAATATATACAGCAGTTAAATTTTGCTTCTAACCGCAGTAGTTTTTCTTCATGTGTTCACTTAACCTCTCAACAAGTATAAATATGTACATTTTCACGCATATTTTTACGTACTGACAAGAGAATAAAACCTTCCTCCCCCACTTAGTGCTACACAGGTGACCTTTGGTCCTATATAAAGTCATGTCTTAAAATAGGACTGGTGGACGAGTGTAATTACTGATCTTGTTCCGCCCTTGTTGTCGCGCTGTAACACACAGTACTAGGGTCTGGCTGTATCACACTAAGTATCTTAAGTATACGTCTGCCAAGCTTCAGATTAACTGGCCTGGAACTGATGAGACGACTGTTTACTGCAAGAAGCACCTGACAAACACTGTCTGCACCTCCCCCCAACCCACACACACAGAACAAGTATGTGTACACACTAACACCTCTTGATAATTACACAAACAACCACACGTAACAAGGCACTCTGACATACATACACACGACCTATTATACATGCTGGCTTTACCTTTGAATAACATGATAATAGTGCATTTATTTATGAACGTCAGAAAAATGTATTCAGCTTTATATATTCCTCGCTGAACCTCACCCCTTAGTGTACCTCAAGTTAACCTAAGCTTTACTATACATCAGCCTGTTAAGTGTATGAACCAGACTCTGTGTAACTCCCACCGGCCGCAGGCAGTGCTGGGGTCCTCATCTGTGTGTGTGTGTGTGTGTGTACAGGTGGTGGTGGTAAGGAGGGGGAGTAGGTGAGAGGAGCAGCCATTTAATAGTCACTTGATTACCTGCAGGTTATGTGACGACAGCCTTGGAGAACTGCCAGTCACCCGGCCCTAAACTGTCTAGCCACATATAGTAAATAATATTATACATGCTGTATATTTTTACCTCTCATAACATATCATTAACCTAAAATAAATATTAACAAACCCTAACAACCTAAACTAACCTAACAAACCACAGGTAGTTCACAAGAACAGTACCAATAGTTATAGCGTGTTGCTGGCATGTATATGACCTACCACTCGTGTCTCCACACTGTAAAACTCAAGAGAGCGTATCCGTACACCTACAATGAACCGCCAAATGATGCTATACACTCGCTGAATGAAACTAACCAGAGACCAGCATCAATCATGGTGATGAACTTGAGGCAGCCACTGACAAAATCTTCAAGTAACATAAAAAAAAACCTTAGGAGCAATTCCACCGTTTAGATACATTATATACAATATGTAAGTAAAAATCAGTGGCAAAGTGACTCCATCAGCAAGCAAAATTTTCGGGTGAATCTGTAGGTGATCCCACACACCCAACCCATTAACCAGAGCAGGAATAATTAACAAAACCCACACTCACTCAAGCTTCTCTATGCCCTAATAAACCTTACCTTGCTAGATTACACAAGGAATGGTTTGGTTTATAATACATTAAGGTTAGGTGCGATACATCAGCTTACGCCATACCTTCCCACCTTGACAATTCTTGCAACACCCCTTTACAATACTCGTATTGAAGGTGTAACGACGCATGGCCTTGAAGGACTCGTTTGTGGCCAATACATATAAAATATTAATATAATCCCACGAGTTTACCAGCTCATTATCTTTAACACCCAGATCAGTTTAACATCTTCAGTGCTGAACAGCCCTGTTATTATCCCCGCCAGCGGTGTGCCCGGCGAGTCCCTCACTCACACTTCCTCCTTTGGTTTCGGTATCTCATTAAGGTTAGAAGTGAAGTCCCATTTATTTCACCAGGTATTTAAAAACCCTAATGTGAACGTATCCAAACCTAACCTCCATTTAGTATTAAAGATGAAATAATGTGGTTCTTAATTTTCATGTTCTACTTAAAAGATAAACGGTGATATTGAAGGAAGAGATTAGGGGTCGGGGACAAATGCCAAGAGAGTAGAGCGTCAAGGAAACTCACTCCTGGCCCTCGGGAAAACACGGGTTACTACGCTAGTATGAGGTCGCCATCGATGGAGTTGTAGTAATCAATTCCAATTTCCAACCATTAATATTTTGAATACGTGAATGAGAAGCACAACTAATACATCTATATTTTACTTACCAAATCCTCGTGACTCTGAATGGTCGAGGGGGAGTGTACCGGCCATACCAGCCAACCACACCACCGTCAGCCATACCACCACCATCACCATCTTCACTGGTGTAGTATCCTGGCGTCACAACACAACACACAACACCAGTACGTTCCCCAGATGTTACCAGTAGTGACACGTCAGGCCCCTGTGACCACCAAAATATACTGTCTGAGCGTATTTTGTAAAGCACTATGAGGAGCGGTATCGGCGCCAGTTAGCTACGGAGCGAGCGGACGAGCCAACAACCTCCTCACCTGCCCATGTCCACACAACGAATGGGAAGTCGGTCACTGAAGGAGCCATAACACACAGCTAGCAAATTACAGTTCCCAATATTTGTGACTTATTTACTCTCCTACAGTCTTTTCATCATCCTCAAATCCTTATCTTATACGCCGTCAGTAACACCAGCTGAATTATCGTTATTACTTTTATCTCGATGACAATATTTACTCTTTTTTTTAATTATTTAGGTAATTTTAAGAGTAGATGGCAACTGAGGGTGACCGGGGTAAACTGTGCTGGGAGGGAGGGAATGTGGACCACAGCTGACCACCTTCTTGTATACATACTGTACTGTACACACTCCCTCCCTGGCCTCCTTCAACACCTACACTCTATCTGATACACCTCTCGGGTTCCCTTATTACCCTAAATACCTACACTTAACACTTCACATGCCACAAGTCAACACTGCCATCCCCCCCCCCCCCTCCCCACACACACACATACACTGTCCTCGGGACGTTTAAGCCTATTATTGACTCAGGTGAGTTACACCCTTTTTCTTTACTGAGTTACCCTAGCTTTATAAATTATTTTATTTTCCTTTAATTATTGTTATCAGTAATATTAGTAATCGATCTTACAAATTATTGGCAATTTTTAAACACTGTATATCTATTTACGTTAGTTTCTTAAACGTAAGTAATTGTTTAAAATAGTTCTGGTTCAACAGTTAAGTTAATATTATAGTTGTGTGTTGTGGTGCAGTGCCGCGAGGCAGCAAGGCTAACAAGCTGACTTATCCACAAAAAGGCTTTTAATTCTTTTAACTTGTTTAGCTATGACCAAGTTTTCCATCATCTTTAAACCGGTTCGTTCTTCGTTTTTCTTTCCTCAAATTTGGATCACCTGAAGAATCTAAACCCAAGCTTATTTCAACTCAAAATTAACCACCCTAACGTTAACATAACCTAACCTCAGCCCCATATATTGTTATTAAAAACTAGTATATCAAATATTTCACCTAACCAGTGATAAGAAAAGAGCTTGTGGTTGTCTCTTGGGCCCTTGGCGTCATTTTGTCTTCTTCTGGGACATGATTCACGTCTTCACTAAAGGGAAGATTAAACGCACGAGGCTTTAAGAATCTTGTCACGGATTGGCAGGGTTCGTATGTCATGTTGTCCTCATTACGTCAAGACACGAGAACAGACATATCTCACGTAGGCAGTAACCTACAAAATATCAAACAAAATGACACAAATCTTACTAAAAATTAATACAACCAGTTTATTGCATCCTGATTTTACGGATGCAGCTCTCAATGGCTTAACTGCAGTAATTTTGTTCAAATTTCATACAAAGGTACTCAATTACATGCTGGTGGAGGATCTGGGTTCATAATTAAATTTTTGAGTAATTAGTGTTAATTAAAGACCCTTGCAATAAAAAACACCTTTAGAATATTTAAAACGTCAATTACGCTGTGACCTGAAGTTTTAAATCCCACTTATATATATTTTCTCAAGAAAATAGGCTAACTTTCCCATTTAAGCACGTTACTTTTCACTTTCCTGAAAAAAGCCGTAAGTCGCCCCGAAAACACCTGACCTAATACCTTGCGTTTCGGCAGTTGAGGTTATGACGTAGATTTTGTTATGTGATCTCGTGAATGGTTGTGGCCCACCATAATTGTATGGAGAATGCGGACGAGTCTCAGTTTACAGAGTTCATGTTGACCACGAAGGAGAAAACCGATGGATAACAACAGCTGTAACGTAGAGGGAAGAACCGTGCTTAGACCTCACTAGTATGAAGGAAGCTGTATAAAATACGTTTACTGTTAAAATTAGCGGTTAGATAAATAAGTAGCATTGGATGAATTCCAGAACGTTATATTATTGTACGATGTAATAATAAAGTAAATGTGATTATTGTTGGTGAGTGACGTATATAATAAACAATACCCCGTTGTTCTCAAATAAGATGAGAAAATAAACAACGTTGACAAAATTAAAGAACGTTATTTCATGATCTATTAAATTAAATGTAAATAATATTGGTGATGATTGAGGTAAAGTAAACAGTTTACCGTTTCTCTCAAATATAATGGTAATGGGCACCGTAAGTTGGTCATGGTGTAAGATACAAGTGTCAGATCAACACTTCACCAATAAATGTTCATCATATTGTATTTTTGCCACCAATTGATGTTTTTAATATAGTTATAATTTCATGATTGGGGATCAATATAAAAGTTGGTCTTTCAATGATCAAGAAATAACATAAATACTTAGATGACAAATCATTTCAGAACAGCGCAGGTGGTGAGCAGAGCAGCATGCCACCTTGTGTTGTACTTCCTAGTGAACCGTGAATGTGAACCTAGAGCTGTATTTTACTGTAATTTGCCACAATTTGGGGCGACGACGCCTCACCTTTGCCACGATGGGTCCCGGCGCTATACCATCCAACTCCATACCCTGAGCCTCTCACCTGGGAAATAACGGATACATGTCTCGGTACATAAATGCGGAACGTAATAATAATAAATAATGTAAATACTCTATAATAACAGTATAAGAAGAAGGTATCATTACTTTGATAATGTATATCTACGTAGTGTTCGGTACAGAACAGTGTATAATTACGTATAAACAATGCAGCCCCACAGTTCTGCGTGTACAAAAAAACACAATAAATTGGAATAAGAAATACTGTATGAAAAACAAGAAGCAAGAGTGATGTACTTATTTTCATTATAAAAAGCTAAATTTACGCTTGTGTCTCTACACTGTTATCTAGGTTGTGGTCATAGACGGACACTTACATTGTTCTCGAAAAAATGCTTCCCTTTTAGAACTGGCTAATTTGTACTTTTTCGCACTGAATAATTTCCCTTTTCCAGCGTTTCACTTTCAACTAAAGACACTACAAGTACCTTTTAAAAGTCCCGTAAATGCTTGGTTGTTAACACACGACGACAACAATATTAATATAAAACAATCGCCACTATAGAGCGTAATTTCCCAATGGCACATTGCATGCAAGATCACTGTAAATTATAATACAGAATTTATTGCTACATTTACATAAAATTCATTTCCTTTCTAACGGGAAATTCCCTGTTAGTTACTTTCCAGTATTTCCCGAGGCAATGTTTGCTTCCCACGGCTGGCGAGGAACTAGAAATTAGTCGCCTATTTGACTGGTGGAGAAAACTGGCAGTAACCACTATTACCACCACCCTCTGAAAGTGGATTATTTTTGTCAAATGGCCGTGTAGCACATCATTAATATTTATCGGTTGAACAAATTTTCATTATGTACACCCACTAAAAAATTATTCGGCACCTGTGTCATATTGTATTGCCGTAAGGGTGCCGAATATATAATCTTTTAGTGGGTGTACAGTACAGTCTAAATTAGTAGTAGTAACAGGAAGTAGATTATTGTAAGTAAAGTACACCCAATAAAAAATTATTCGGCACCCCTACAGCGTGATACAATATATGATATTTTAGTGGGTGTAGCCTACAGGTAATTAATTCTGACCCGTTATATTCCAGCTTTGGCGAAGTTGATGAAATATGAGTACTGTAGTTTAATTCATAATATTTATTATTAGGGGATTGTTCGCATCCCGGAACTCTTTCAGCGAAAATAAAAAGATCCAGGGACAAATCTTATACAATATATACGCAAATTTCTTCCTAGTAATACTTTGTGGTCTTAACTCTGTCACTGTCGTACTTTACATGAATCTTGCTGAAACACCTGCCACATTATTCTACGATTTGACGTAATTATTATTCACATGACTGAAAATGATGAGATCAGCCCTAATCACGTGACAGCTAACGAACTGAAGACCAATTAGAATACATCATCACCAATCACGGTACGCCGGATAGTGACATAAGCACAAAAGACGGCCCCAGGCGGTAACGGTGTACAGTACAGTACTTGTTAATTTTCGTGTTGTGCGTACATCATTATTTGTTAAAAAAATATATTACATTTCAGCGTATGTTTGTATGTGTGTGTATCCTGAGTAGGTTAACCTCTGTATTGTATATATTACGATCTGTTTGCGAAAGTAGCCCTTAAGAAAAAGGTCATTGTTTGGCCTTCATTGTAAGAGGGAAAATTTCGCAAAAAAAAGACCATAACATTTATCTTAAAATACGATGTTTGCGAGCCCGTGCTTTGTGTGTGTGTGTGTGTGTGTGTGTGTGATAGGTTGCTCCAAATAAAGATATAGTGCCAAGTGACGTTATGGTGATGTGGTCTGTTAGTTCTGTGTGAAGTCATTAATTCGTACATTTACAATTCAAATTACTTATACTCACACCTAAAACACCTTAGGCGCCACACCCAAAGGTCGACTCTAAAGATACGATTATAGGCAATATAAGGTTATAGACTTAATTCTCATATATTGTGCTTGACAAAAAATCATAACCAGATTTAAAAGTCAAGCCAAATTTAGAGCAGAAGTCTCGGTCATATGCCATGGCCCGTTAATAATTATTAGGCGGTGTTGATGACTAAGTGCGCCACAAAGTGCCTCATACTGCTGGTCATGACGGCGGCAACTGTTTTAGCGCGTCATGGCGGCTAACACACTGACCCCGCAACACACCTGACGCCCCACACCAACACTTGTCTATCTCTTTAATTCAACACGATCTTTCCTCGCAACAACACTGTAATGATGCTATACCTTGGTAACCCCACCCCCCTTGAGACGTTAGGCCTAGGGGCAGATCCCAGCGAAAAGAAGAGTAACCCAAATACCAACCATTAGGCCTATTACTACAACATACACCCACCTTGTGTTACATTGACCAATATTGTACACCACAAATACTATGATGGAACTGTAAAATACTTCTTTTGTCGTTCTCCAAAAGTCAGATAAAATTACATACCATTATAGAGGGAAACTACAGTATAAAATATGAACAATACTGAGTTACTTGTCACAAACATAAGATAATATTTATTAATGAATTTGGATTTGTTGGGTCACCTGAAGAATCTACACCCCAGCTTATTTCACCTAGAGATTAACCACCCTAACACTATTTTAGGCGGATGAGGAGAGGTTAGGTTTGTGTGGTTAATCCTTAGGTGAAA